TTTTTTTTTTTTTTTTTTTTTTTTTGGATAAGACAAATATTAAAGATTTTGGAAACTTGAAAGAATTTTATGGTCTTACCAGTTGCAGTTCCAATCCCCATCAATGAAGAGCCAGCATTTGCCATGATAGCTCGAACATCGGCAAAATCTACATTGACGAGTCCTGGTATCTGAATCATACAGAGTGCCCTTATGAACCAGAGCAACTTAATAGTTCTTTATAGTAAAAAGAAATATTAGCACAGGCAATCTCTCAGAACTTGCAATACAATATGCCCTTCCAGGAGTATGATTATATGTTTTCTTTGCACAAAGTTGTGCTATTTCAAGTTCACTCCAAATCTAACCAGAAGTTTTCACATCAGAAAAATATTCCATGTTCTTAAATTTTTTGAGAAAAAAATGATAATTGTCAAAAAGCCTTTGACATGGACTATGGCTTGATATAAAAGAATCAAAATAAGAGCATCTTGTTCAACTTTCTAACTAATTACATACCATAATTATGTCGGAGATACCGCGAACACCTTGGCGAAGAATATCATCAGCTAGGTTAAATGCTTCTGTCACAGCTGTTGATTGCGAAACCGCAGTTAACAGCTTGTCGTTTGGAATGACTATAAGTGTATCAACATTGTCTCTCAAAGCTGCAATTCCTTCCTGGGCTTGAACTGTCCTCCTTCGCCCTTCAAAAGAGAATGGAGTTGTAACGATACCGACTGTCAATATACCCATCGACTTGGCAATACTTGCTATGACAGGAACACCACCAGTTCCGGTCCCTCCACCCATTCCAGCCTACAAACAAAGACAATTTCTCCTCCAATCAGAAAAATACGAGGATAAGTCGAGGCTAGACATAAATACTCCAAAAACATAATAACGGATGGTTGTTTTTGGGATAAACATCAAAAAGCTTTTCCCTACATCCATTGCATGCCATTCTCATCAAGATTCACTGAGAAGTAGTGCATTATGAACAAAAAGACCTGGAAAACCACGAGTTTTCTGGATCAAATATAACATTATTTCCACACTGAGATGCTTCAATTATCAGTAAAATATATCATTTCAGTTAAGTTCATTGAAAAACAATGCTGTTCATACTGGCACGACCACCCGTGATGGGCGATCAACCCTCAAAAGTATTCTATTGGGAGTTAAATAGCCATGTAAACGTGAACTTACAGTGACAAAAACCATGTCTGCTCCATAAAGTGCCCCTTCAATAGCTTCCTTGCTCTCGTTGGCAGCACTCATTCCAACGTCCGGGTTCCCACCCGCTCCGAGACCCCTTGTAAGTTCCCGACCAATTTGAAGACGGTTCTCATATTGCACAGGGGACATTCTCAAAGCTTGAACATCCGTGTTGACAACCCAGAACTCCACTCCCTTCATTGAACTCTCTATCATACGATTGACTGCATTTGACCCACCACCTCCAACGCCAACAACTTTAATCTTTGCTTCACCATAATTACTTGGACTGATTGTGTCTCCCAAACTCTCAGTGTTACTTTCACTTAAACTATCCTGTCTTGGGTTACTCAACATATTGCTCCCATCTCCTCTAAGCATTGAAATTTCAGGGTGTAGTTCAAGAAAAGGGTCTCTATTTGGATATGAACCGACACTGTGAGAATGGGAGGCACATTTGAATTTACGCAGAGCTAACTTTTGGCCAACACCCACAAATCCATTCCCTTCTTCATGCATTTTAACGCAGCCAAATCTTCCGGACGAATTATAATTTGACATTGATACTCTTCCTCCAAGAACATTCAGTACGCCAACTGGGTTTCGACCATCAGAAAGAGCAAAATGTATCCACGTACAACTTGCCATCACAAAATTGTCAATGTAAATTCTAAAGTCGACTGTTCAGAAGAACTTCTTAACGGTTTAAAATCTCGAATCCAACGCAAACCTCTCTTTCAATGCCTATTCACAAAGACCAAATAGTCAATTGAGAATTATTTAACCATTGGGATAATCTATTTTGGCTTGACAAGCATAGAATAAAGTAAAACAGTCATGTGAATCGTACAATATAGCGAATATACGAGAAAAAACGATTTAAATTGTGCCTACAGCTGAAAAAGATAAATCATGAACACCAAAAAAAAGAAAAAAAATCAAGAGAAACACCGAGCCACTGGAATTCAGTCACGAAAACCTCCAAGCGAGTTCGAAACGTAAGGAAAATGGAATCAAACCAACATGAGAGCCTCATTCATCATGATATAACACGAATCTCCTTGACAATGAAAGAATGCAGGAAATTGAGAAATGCAACTGAATTCAATATTAAAAATACCGGAGAAAAGTGCAGAATGTGTAGCATTTGAGTTGTACTTGGAGCCTGAAATGGAAATGGTGGGCGGAGAGAGGGCGTGTTGGTAGCTTAGATTCTTCGCGCAATTATGAGAAAAATCCTCAGAAAAGTAACAAAAATCATGTGAAGAAGAAGGTTGAGTTGAACGCTGGCTTTTTGGAGGAAGGCGATGTGCGGGTCAGTGCCAAAAAAGCAGAAACGGATTGAAGAAAGCGTCATATCAGCCAAGAGATCGCATCTCACATTTGGGCTCCAAATTTGAAGGCCCATTTCCGAGCTCCCCATTCCAGTAAATTAGTCAACACAATCTTTACATATTTCATTTTGGTACCTCAATTTTATCTAAATCTCTATTTTAGTCCTCAAATTTACAAAAATAACTATTTTAGACCTTATATTATTATTTTATTTTTAACAAACTAGCGTTAATATAAACGTGATAGTTTAGAGACAAACATCTCACAATTAAATATTAAATTGAAAAGAATAATATATTTATTATTTTAAAGTTTAAAGAAACTAAAATAAGCATTAAAATAATTAAATTACAAATTTAGTCTTTAAAATTTATATTAATTTAGTCCTTAAATCCTACCTATTCCTCCTCTTTAAATTTTATAATCAATAAATTGCTGAGAGTTCAAAATTTAAAAAATATATATATATATATAAATATAAAATTAAAAGTTCAGGAGCTATTAGATATTTTTTTTAGAGTTGTTGGACACGGAAAAAAATAAATAGGATATTAAAAAAAATATTCATGTATGTTATATATTTAAAAAATAATTAAAAAGAAAATTACATTACAAATTTTTGTTGGTTAAATTTATGAATTAATTAAACTTAATTTGTATTAAATTTGATAATTGGGAGTAAATTTGGATATCCAAATTATTTTAATAAAGATTATCCAAAATCTGAAATTCCAATTTTGTCCCTCGCTTTTTCGTCTCCTTTTTAAGTCCAAACTCCCTTATGATTCGGCTCTTAACGAATTCTACACTTCAGTTGCCTCTGGCTGTGGCTTTTGTCATCTTTCTTGGAGATTCCTCTCGTAGTTTGTGTTGTGAGATTGATTCGTCGAACAAAGGCTTTCAGATTCTCTTCAAGATAATACGTATTCGAGCATTGAGGTAAGCTATGCAGATTTTTGCTCTTCGCTGATCTTGTTTTGGAAAATGGAGTTTAGAGTTAGTCATTAAAGAGTTAGAATCGACGTTCTCCTTCAATTTTTGGTATATTCTGCCTCTTTTCTGATGTTCTTGGACGTGGTACTTGAATCTTGAACTTTCATAGTTTAAATCTTTTTCGCAGTACTCCAGTGCTAGATTCGGTTCATTCTGTGAGCCGTGTTGATAACTCATTTTGCTTTTCTGTATTGTTTCTATGAATCTCGTTCTATTGGTGATTTTCCTATTGAAGAATTCAGGTTTCGATTTCTTTTTAACTTTCTTGTTGATCATGGACCAGTTTCTATTCGGCAAGCTCTCCGAGTTCATGATCTTCCCTAAATTGGCGCAACCTTAACCTGGTCTTCATTTTCTGCTCGTCTAATTAGACATGGAAGACCTTCCAGTTGAGATTATTGGAAAAGTACTGTCTCTTCTACAATCTGTCCAAGATCTGGCGATCGCTTCGACAACTTGTAAGAAATGGAGAGAGGCTGTGCGGAATCACCTCCATACTTTGAGCTTCCACTCGGATTATTGGCCAGGTTCTAAAAGCCTTTCGACGAGGAGATTGGAAGTTATAATAACACAAATGATACTTCAGACCACTGGACTTGAGAACTTATACATTTTTATGGATGAAGTAGATGCATTCTCGGCTTCCTCAGTGACTGCTTGGCTCATGCATACGAAACACACAATCGTTCGACTGCACTATAATGTCAACACTGTTCCAAGCATCAATATAATTGAGAAGTGTGGTCGACACAAACTAGAAGCGTTGGCATTGGCTAATAATCCGATAGATCATATTGAACTGGCTTATCATAAGTTCTCTTGTTTGAATTATCTATCACTCTGTTATGTCATCATTTCTATGCCAGATCTAAACCTTCTTATCTCTGCTTGTCCAAAGCTTAAAAGGTTATCTGTAGTTCACCCAGAATTTACGGGGACAGATGAGACGACAGCAATGGAAATTAGAAGTTCTTCATTGAAGGATATCTTCGTTGAAGATCTCGGTAAAGAGGATATCACGCTAGAGGCTGATACCCTTGAAATTTTACATTTAAAAGATTGTAGTCCTGAAGTATTTCAGCTAATTGGCAAAGGAACTCTGAGAGTTCTGAAGCTCGAGGAGGTTTCGGCTTTCGAACTGGGTATTGGAGATAACACTGAAAATCTTGAAACAGTGGATCTCAGCGGTACTGCACTTGTGTGGCAGGGATTCTATCATCTGCTCTCAAAGGCATCAATGTTGAAGAGGCTTCGGCTGTGGAATGTAAGAATTTATGATAGTGATGAAGAAGTTGTGGATTTGGGCTCAATTTCCACCAATTTTCCCCAGTTAAGCCATTTATCTATATGTTTGGATCTAAGACGTAGAGCCTTTCATCATAACTTGCGGAGATCTTTTCAGATGGAGAATGTGACCATATTAGAAGTTGGATGGAGGGAAAATAATGTTTTTTTCTCTGAATGGGTGGCGAAACTTGTTAAAATATGTCCAAAGTTGAAGAAATTGACAATCTTTGGGTTTGTATCAGGAGCCATGACCAATACGCAATGCCACACCCTATCGTGTTTTGCCACGGCTTTCGTCGAACTTATGAGAAAACATCAGCATATTCAGGTCGGGTTCGTCTTTGCATAGCATTTAGGCAACCAAATATGCGGCTGCTTAGGTAAATTATCACCGGAATTTTCATCATTATCACAGTTATGAGATTGCAAAACCACGCATCCTATGAAAACGAGATTTCTTTATTTTTCTTACTATCCTACATTTATTTCTTATTGGTTTCTTATCCTTTTGTTCTTTTTTCTCTTACCATAGTAATGTTTGCATTCGCCACTAAATCAACGTTCTGCTTGCCGCCTGTGGCTCCTGAAGATATAGTCTTGCTGCATGACATTATGATCCCCTTACTAACCACGAGAGTCTTCTTATTGTTGCCTTCCTGCACGAATTATGGTCCCTCGCTGTCATTCATTCTGCGCTCTTGGACCAAAGACCTCTGAAGAAGTCAAATCCGCCATCTTCCTAGCGTACAGGTAACCCTCTTCTTTTCTACTTCTTGGTAATTGATAGTATCAATTATCCAAACTAGAACCAAACTGTATTGAAATATAAAAGATGAGCTTGTTAGATTGAAATATAAAGATGAGCTTACAAGTTCCAAAATTCATGCGTTAATTCATTCACCAAAACAATGCTCTCCCCCCCTTTCTTACTTCATCTATAACAAATTGGCTAACAATAGTCTAATAACATTCCTTTCGGTAATTTGCGTGCTGTACATGCGTCGAGTTTGGTGTCATGAATATGCCAAAGCCAAGCGTGGTTGTTGTTTCCCGTCCCTTTTTTCTGCACCTGGGTTACTGGAGAAGAATCCCTAGTGGAGATGAAATTTTATTTGGGTTTGATTGACTTTTGAGGTTTTGAAAATTGTACCCATATAGATAAGACATTGAGGTAGATTAACACCGTTTGAGAGCATCGATTTGATGAACAAATCTGAATTTGAAACAAGCCCGATTAAATATGATACCACTATGGCGATTCTCTCTCCATTTTAATCTTTTATAGCTTACAAAGACCTGAAGATTTTATCAGATTTTGTGCAAATTATGCCTATCTACTACATAACAACACCTTGACAAACTCGTAAGAAACGAAAAACCTTGGTACCAGGCCATTCACCCATGCAAGATTCGAGTCATCTGAAGAAAAGAAAGACAAGCAAGCCCAATTTCCTGCTGGACATGCTGTTTGGCTCATTCATGCCAAATTCTCGAAGTCCTGCATGCACCGAGGTTTTTCTGTGAACCGTTGGAAGTTTCCTGCTAACTACTTGAGTGTGTTTCGTGTTTTGCCTTTTCCATGGCTGGAACTTAAGAGGATTTTCTTTTACAATGGGCAACTTGAAGTTCTCCTCATAACGCACAGCTTTTCCTTGGCCCTCTGTGCTTTCGTTTGAACAATCTTTGTTTCCTCTAAGTACTGCAAAAATGAAGGCTAAGATCAATTGCTAGATGTAGCTCAAACCATGATTTGCAAATACATAGATGGTGATCATAGAGAGGCTATCAGGTCAAACTCTTGGATTTAGAGCTCTAAAGAAGGATATTCAAGGAAATAAAATTTATACTTAAGAACTGCAAAACTAGGATCTATCAATCCTGCATTCATTTCTTTTCATATCTGATGGAAATGGCATGCAATTCTACCCTGCTATTGCTTCAAATTGTATAAATTCAGGTTGAAGCAGAACATATCAGATGGATTGTAAAACAAGGTACCTGTTGCTTTCTCTTCCTCTCTAACTCAGCCTATTTATGTTCCAACACAAAAAGGATGGAATATCTGGTTAGAATTACAGTAGTAGGCAATTTCTATTTGATATATCAAATGTTTTCACATGATACTTACCAAGGCCTGCTTAAGATGTGCATTTTCCTCTCGTAACTGGTTCAACTCTGCTTCTAACTCTACTGTGTATGCCTATTTCGAAGTAGGGAAGAAAATGCATATTAGCTACTTCAGCTTGTCATTTTATTGAAAGAAAATGACACTAGGAATAGAAAAGTGCACCTGTTTCCTAGCTCTGGACCTTGCAGCTGACTCCCTATTCTTTATCATCCTTCTCTGCCTCCTTTCAACTACTTTTTCAACTGGCCCATCAATTATTCTCTTCCTACCTCTTAACCCACCCATGTCCAACCCAAATTGATTTGAGCTATCCACCTGATTGGCGCACATTCCATCGGGGGAAACTGGACTCACAGGCGCCATCCCCATCGGTTGAGCCGGTGAATATCCTCCTACCCCACCCCCACCCCCTCCACTGTTCACCACTCTTCCACCATAGCAAACTGCAGGTGGAGGCTGTGATGGGTACACACTGTTTCTTTTACCATTGCCTGCATATCCTGAGGTATCGCCTATGGTAGAACCACCTTGGGGGACCGGTTGGTATGTCGTAATGCCACCGGCACCAGCAACGGCACTACCGCTAGCACCACCACCAGCTGCAGATGTACTGAGTCCCATAATAGGCCTGGGAACATAACCAGCACCAATGGTGTGGTTGCTATTCTGGTACATACCATACTGCTGAGGTGGTGGCAATTGCTGCAACACTCCTGCCCGGCCACATGGTTGTTCTTGAACAACCCCAGCTTTGATCAGAAAATCCTCCAATGTCATTTCCCCAAACGTTGGTTGGCGCGTGGCAGATTCTGGATTCTGATTGTTGGCATTACCACCACTGCTGCTATTTTGACTCTGCCCCTGCTGGCTCTTGTGAATCTCAGACCAAACCTCATCCACTGTCTTCCGGCACAAGGGTGCCGGCAGTGTTAGTGAACCTTGCCGAGGTAGGCTTGCTTGCTTCTCCATGTTGCGTTTCTCCACTCCGCTCACCGGCAAGTGAGCCTGAGCGTTGCTCAATGCCGCCACCGCAGACGTCGCCGACTGGCTGGCATTGAATGCTTGGTTTTCCTCCGCCGTCCAAATGCTGGTGAGGAACTCATCCATGTTCATGGAGCCAAAGTTCTTGCCACTCTCACAGAGAGTATGCTGGAACTCGTCCAGTGTAAGCGAATAAATGGAGGACTGCCTTCCAAGGGAAGAGAATCCATGGTGCTTGAGCTGCTGCTCCGACTGCAATGGCGATTCAACTTCATCATGTGACATCATTTCTGATTCTTTTAACACCATGTTTTCCTCTACTGGTGTCTATTAAGATCAGCGACGAGCTTGAAGCTGCCGCATCAATGGAAGCCAAAGAAAACATAACAATATGAGAGACTTCATTAACAACGGGAGAAGAACAGTATCAATCTTCTTGGAATTTAAAATCATCTTTAATCTTCATTGCTACTCGAATACTATAATCATCGACTTTTAAGATGTAATCAAAACCATCTTCAAGTTTTAGTGGCAAATATGTACTTGACAAGACCAAAAGTGTGTTTTTCTTTGAAGAAGGTTTATTCCATATCAGATCCCACTCATAATAATAATAAAAAAGGTAAATTATAAGGAATAAATAAGTACCATAAAAGGTAAATTACAATCAAAGCACAAGGGAATCAAAACAACTTGAAGTTATTTGTATTGATTTTCATCAAAAACCACATTAGAAGCGGCAAATAATTCATCCTTTTGATTTGTATTGATTTTCAAATGGGCATAAAAATGGCAGAGCAAAAGAACTGTATATTTAAAGCAGTAGAGCTCTAATGGCGGATTCAAAACAGCCATTGAAGGGTACCAGAGAGATTGAGAGAAGCTGAAGAAGATGAAGGGAAATGGAGACTTCTGAAAGCCTTGAGGGTTTAAAACATCAAAATCGTAGCTTTCAACCTAACAAAAGCCGCCATTAATGAAGCTTTCCCAAGCTCTGAATCTCTGGTACTCTGAAGCAAAAATACGAAGCTTGAAGAAGAGAGGGAACAGAGCACGAAACGGGACTAAACTGCGGTCTTTTCGCTGAAATGGGGTCCATTTATATATTGTAAACTGAAAATTATACAGCAATTTTGCTTTATATTTTTTATTTTTTATTTCAATTTATATAAATAAATAAATAAATAACCCTACCAAATAAATTTTCGCCGCAATTAATAATTTTAAAATATCAAAAGACAAAGTTAAAATTAAGTTACATACATTTTTTGGTATAAACTTTATGATTTGATCTCAAGTTTCGTTGACTTCAATTTTGTTTAAGATAATTTTTATCTTCCCATTATTTACCTTTGTCATATGGTTGGTTATTAAATAAAAATAAAAATATTTGAGATAACGCTCCAATATTCAAATTAAATACAAATTTAAAATGGGTCTATTTATTCGAATTTTCATATTTTTTTCGACTTAGAAACTTAAATAATTTTCATATGAACAAACCATATAATTTAGTATAAACCGTTAAATTTTAGTTCAAATTTCTCATTTTAGGATTAGAAACAAGTCAAAATTTATAATTTTGATTATATATATATATATTTTTTTTTTTTTTCTGGTGAATTTTATAGAGTTTTGTGGTTAAGTGTAGTGAAATTTAATGGTTGGTAGGGTAAAATATATATTAAAAAAAAGTAGTGAAAAAATGTTAAGAATTAAATAGATTCTATGGAATGGAAAGAGTCGTAATTTCACATTCATGTTATTCATTGTTTACATCACAATTCTTCCTCGTGAAAAGGCCAAAAATACAAATATTTTTGAAATGGGACCTTTCCTGTAAAAAACGAAAGTTTTGGGGACTCGTTTTTACAATTACCCTAGCCTTTTGCTGACATTATGCAGGAAGAGATAGAGTGAAAAAGAGAGATAGAGGTGGAGCCCACACTACCTAAATTCCTCGAAGTCAGAAATTATAGATATTTTATTAATAAATTCTGTTAAAAATATTTTTTTTTAAAAAAAAACTTTTCTTTTTCTTATTAAGTTATTTGAAGGAGGGTATCCCCTTTTTTCTTCTCTCTCTAAACCTATCTACGAGAGTCATTGACACGTGTAAGACACGTGGCATGGTTTAGCTCTTTTGATCCTGTCTGGACTCTCCTAGGCGAACACGTATGATCATGGCTTTAAGATGGGTGAAGATTCGGTGCAGCTGGCTCACACAAAGAGGGTGTAGCATCCGATAAGCGTCCTCCACGTTAGGCTGTCGTTTTATTTGATCGGTGAAAAGTGGGGAATTTTAGCAGTTTTGAGACTGTGATGACGTAGAGGAAATGTGGATTAGAGGGTACTTCGGATGGCGATATCGTCACATGCAAGTAGGGCCATAGCTGAGCCCTAGGCACGTGCTACTTTTTAGTTGGCTCTTTTTCTTTTTTCTTTTTCCTGAAAATTACAATTTAAGACTTTTTAAAAATAAATTCTCTAATATCTAATTATTTATTAAATACAACATTAAAAGATTGAAAGAAGTAAGACAACATTTTAATTTAATACTTTCCATTAGACTTAGGCACAAGTTGTCATCTCAAATCAGGGCGATAGGCTTAGATATACGCTGTCGGTTGGTTGATCCACTCAATGGTTTGAGTGAGTGCTGCGAAGTCGCTACAAACGTCCTGTAAAAACACGATTGTGACATTTAGTATATAATCAAATATTATCGGGTTCATGTAATTTCACTCGGGACACTGAATGGATAACAAAAGGATGGAATGACACTTTCAACCCTTAATTTCAAAGATCAATAAGAGAGAGCATGGTAAAAGTATCCATTGTCCTCCAAGCAAAAGTAGAGCTCAATACAGCCAAATGAGGACCGCTATAAATATAATGTACCAAGGGCGAGAGAGACAAAAAAAAAATGGAGTACTGAAGGACCACCAACCCAACCCAGAAGAAGATGTAATAAATAAAAGCCTATTTCTCGTTGAGAAGAAGGGCTTTGATGATGGATTCAGACATGCCATCAGCATTGGGAAATCTATGCCCAGCACCTGCTACCTCGTGATAATGAATCCATGGAAGCTGTTTGGCAATGTGACGTTGGAGGGCGAAAGGCACGATCTTGTCTTCATCTCCCTGCCATAAATGAACTGAACCTTCATTCCCTGGGAATGGGTTTTCCAGATCCAGGGGACTGAATTCCCACTTCCCAAATCCAACGTTCGCGTCCCTGTGGATGGACTCGTGTTCTCCTTGTTGGCTAAATATAGGCTGAAAGATTTCATCCCATCAACAGAAAACAAATATTTATCAGTGTGTTTTCTAAGAAAACAGCTGATTATAATGTCACCATTTGTTTTTCAAAGTTCAGCTATTTCCTCCCCGATCATAACTACTAGCTTGGTTTCTCCTTTACTTGATTAATGTTAAATAAGTCACCCACAGCTCTCAAAGTAATGTATTTTCACTTCTGAGTATTGTTGGGAGGGAGTCCTACGTTGGCTAATTTAGAGAATGATCATAGGTTTATAAGTAAGGAATACATGTCCATTGGTACGAGGCCGTTTGGGGAAGCCCAAAGCAAAACCAAGAAAGCTTATGCTCAAAGTGGACAATATCATACCATTGTGGAGGATCGTGATTACTAACACCAAAAACAAATACACGCTCCCAAATGCTTGGAAAAGGCTTCATACTCTCCACAAGCTACCAAACCTCTTAGTTAATACATTACCCACCCCTACCATATATTACAATTGGTCCACAACCTTTTAACAGTTTATACAAGAGACAGGTACTATTCTTACCTACCCTTATCCACACTCCTTGCACAACGGTAACTACAATTTCTCTCCTTTGCTAATTCAATATTGTTTATGGCAGATTTCTGACTTAAACCAAACCAGCACTTGAGGGTATGCTGTTGGTTTTTCCATGTTTACTCTCATCTAGCCTAACAAATTTGGCCAATAAATCACTTACTGGAATGAAACCTTTAATTTGACAGTCACATTTAGCACCATTTCTATCATACAGTCAGCATTAAAAGATATGATCAGAAAAGTAGCAAGCAAAATTTCATGAAGAAAGGTCACATACCTGACATTCTTTCCTTCCCACTAGCTTGGACTCGAGTTCTTTGTCTTGATGAGATAGATTCCTGGAACTAGCTGCAATAATACTAGAAGAAGGAAACAATCTTTGTGTATTCCACCAATAGGTAAGCCAGGGGGTGTAGTGAGCCACACGAACTGCCCACTGATCCTGTTCAGACTGTTGGTAGAAGGCTTCATTCGTTAAGTTTGCAGGGAGCCCAGACCACCAGTAGTTAATAGCTGGTGCCAATAGCGCTGCCCCTGCTAGCCTGTTAATATTTAAAAAAATTAAGTCCTTATCAAACACAAATAGATAAATCACTTTCCTTGTTCTCCATATTCTTTTACATAAAAATGAGGCAATGGAATATTCAATTTTAATTTCTTCCTGAAGTTCATTCTCGTTTTCTTGTAGGAAAGAATTCTTGACATTTGTTTTCAGGTGTGGCTTCATACCTGTTAGGAATATATTTTAGACAGCTCCAAACTACCTGGCCACCCATGGAAAATCCAATAACATAGAATTTGGATCCTAGCCCCAATTGATCAGCTAGCTCCTCGATATCATAAGCAGTGCTTTTTGGAGTTCGATTTGGATTTGGATCGCTTTCTCCATAACCAGATCTGTCAAATGATACAATGTAGATTCCTAAATTTTCAATTACGTCCTGCAAAGATTTCAGTAGAGATTCACCTTTAGACTGGTCTCATTTGAGTGTTTAGATGTCTTTCCAGAGCAAATGGATAAACATTAGAAGGTGAGGTATAAATGATACCGGAGAGATGGTATTTGCAACACCGGCATCGTGTCTGCAAGAACGGAAGCCATGGACAAAGATAATTTTGTATTTAGCTGAATCTTTTGGAACCCCATGCTCCTTATATGCCAAATACCTACCATCTCTAAGCTTTATTCTTGGTGCTGTGATGGGAGGGCCATCGGGGGAGCCACATATTTTTGGTGCAGGAGGCCGGATTGCCTGATAACCCCAGGCTAAAAACCCAAAAAAGAGCAGCACTGCTATATTCCTTACCAATCCTGTTATTTTGAGTTATAATCAGAAAAGCTAGTAGATACATACATCAAGGGAGAACCAATATCATTCTTTTTGTTTTAAAATGCATAAAATAGGGGGAAAGGTACAATGAAATTGAAAAATAGAAAAAGAATTAGAGAAAAATCATATTATTTGTTCTATAACATGGAGAAGATCTTTTCTTCTTCTTCTTCTTCTTTTTTTTTTTTTTAACAAGATATAACTTTTCAATGTATACGATGAGAAGATACAAAATGCTCATATAGCATGGAGAACATCTATAGTATGTAAAAGAAATGAACCATATCCACTCACATAAGATTGCACTGATAGATCACAAGATGAGTGTTAAGTTGTAAACAGTAACAGATCTAGGAAAGAGAGGCTGGTGATGTTAAAGAAATTCATTAACACCTGATCAACCTAAACCAAAAATTATGGGCTTGAATGGGCAGTTTAGGGTCAAACAACTTCAACTCGTAGGTTAGATTGGTTCCTGGTTGTTCTAATATTTACTTCAACTAAATAGAATCAACTCAAATTTGATGAAAAATCATGCCGGAGTGTTCTAAAGCTGAGGTCAGAAATTGAAAATAGCACCCTAAACTACAGCTTAGGTCGATTTTGGTCATCGCTACAGCTTACTCAAACGCATAAAAACCAGACGGAGAACTACGATTCTTCCTTCCTTCCAACTTCGCAACGAAAAAGGAAACAACGTAGATGATTAACATGCGAATTTCAGCATATTCGAATACAATAAGCACCAAAAAATTCACACAAGCAGTGGAGAAAAATAGAAAAAGAAATGGAGATAGGCCACCTGAAGAAATCGGGGAAGAACTGCTCCGTTTAGTTTTCCTCGTATGAGCTCTGGCCGATGCTGCCGATATCTTCCGGTTCACGCCCCCCGCCATTACAGCCCTCGGCTACCCACAGATCAGACCTCGCCCTGAATTTCGCAGGGAACAAGGGAAGGAATAGATCTGAAAGTAAAGCGAGGGCGTGGGAAAAAACAGAGAAGCTCAAGAACAACTAAAGGCGGTTTTTGGGTTATTTGTCAAAAACAGAAAGGCTGTGTAATTGGTTAATTTCTATTTCTTACACAATCTGATCTGGAAAATATTTAATTTAATTATTACTTTTTTGTAGTTCATAAAATATTTCTTTTAATGCGCTAATTGGTATTGGACATATATTTTTTAAGATTCAACTTATTTAAAAATTAAATTATACGTCGAAATTTATAGATTAAATTCAAGATGTACCCGAATAGAGTTCACAACCTAACTCATTTCTACCTAAAACTTTGAGTTAGTTGGGTTGGTGATCCAAGCAACCCGAACAGAGTTCACAACTCAATCCAACCATTTACATTCAGGTTTGGTTAGGTTAAGTTGTTGAGTTGTTTTTTTGTTTTTTAATTATATAAAAAAATAAATCTTACTTATCTAAAATACATGTTACATTAATAACTAAAATCTCATAAACTTCAAATATCAAATATTCACGGGACAAAAGCATCAATAATCTCAATTACAAAGTTGAAATATTCTTAATTTTCCTAATAATCTTAAAGACATGATAGTGTTAGGTTGGGTTGTAACCCTATTTTTTAGATTGATCATGTTGATCCAACAAAAAAAGATGTAACTTACAGACAGACATGAATGGTTTGTTTTTTAAAAATTCAACCAAATCCAAACCGACAAAAAAAAAAAAATCTAACACAACCCAACTTTTATGGTTTGAGTTTAATAATCCAAATGGATGAGTCACATGAACATTCCTAAATTAAATTATTAACTTAATATATTAGCTCAAGCTTCCACTAATATTGTATTCTTTAGGCTTTCCTTAATTTCTCTTCAAAAATTTTAAAACCCGCCTGCTAGAGAGAAGTTTCTACACCCTTATATATAATGCACGTTCTTCTCTCCGACCGATGTAATATCTCACAATCTACTTTCTTTGAGACTACCATCCTCGCTGACACTTTTATTTTCTCCGATCGATATGGGATCTAATAAAAAGCCTAAACGAGAGGGGAGAACATCTAAATAGCTTTCAACATGAATTAACCAAATATTTTCAATAGACATGGGCCCAACTTTTGACTTTGGGCCCAACTTTTGGGTTTGGGCTTTAACAAAATCTTTTTCAATAGACTCGGACTACTTAACTTTAACGAGCTCCAACTGAATTTCAACGTGTCACGCACGTTGTTCAATAAACACGTGGCACTATTTGATAATTTTTTTGATATTGAGATAATAGAAATTATTCGTTCGAAATTAAAATATGAATATCAATACAAAATTTTTAATTTTGTAAACATATTGATAAATATTTTTTAAATTATATTTTTTAGAAAAATTAAGTTATATGTTTATATTAATTTTCATATTCATATTATCTCCCATCCACGTATTTTAATCATGAAATTTAATATATATGTATAAATTTTGAGAGTCAAAATGTAATTTTAACTAGTAAGTGGGATGATGCCAAAAAAAGTGGTTCGAACTCGTCAGACTATGCTAAACAAGTGTCGAGATATAATATTTTTCTAAAATATTTATGAACCGAGTTGAAAGGTGGAACAACCTTCCATATTTGTTCTCGAATGGTCGAGTCTTTTTTCACTTTATTGAACGAATAAATATATTAGAAGAATCAGCATAGTTTGCATTTATTTGGTCACGTGTCGTTCTTTATTTCCATTCCTAATTTCTTTCCAAACATTTTAATTTTACCAAAATTTTAAAATTAACCTTGTATTTTTATTATTATTATTTATTTATTAAACATTCAAAATAGGTTATTACTTAGTAGAAATTAAAATAGATATATTAACTATTATTATACTAACACTAAATATGAAGGGAATAGAATAATTTTCTTTAATTTTCAATTTTTATTGGTTGCTAATTTTAATGAAGTAATAAATAATAAATATTATTATGTGGGTCTCGTACTAAAAAAAGAAAATCATTCCCATTATTTTATATACTAAGCTTCCGAATGTCACTTTCATTCCTTCAATGGGTAGGGATACCCTAAACCACTTTAATACTTTATTTAATATAAATTAAAAAACCTTATTTTATATATTTTTTTATTTATTATTATGCGAGCTATTCTTAGCGCACTTACATAAAACAATAACTCATTTAAATTGATGAATCTGAGTATAACTCAACTAGTTAAGATATATTACAGATTAAAATGTCAAAAGTTCAAGATCAAATACGTCAATTTGAATTTCTCTTACTTTTACTAGCTTAAAATGGCTTTCATCAGCTTGACTAATCATAAAATCCATTCCATTGGTTCAAAACCTTAAGAGTAAACCCATAATGAAAGCCTGAAGATGAGAACAATATCTGGTAGTGGTAGGCTTGAACTGTTATAAATGGTATCAGAGTCAAGCACCAGGTGATGTGCCACGAGGACATTGACCCTCAAGGAGAGTGAATTGTGAGATCCACATCGGTTAGAGACGGTAACGAAACATTCTTGATAAGAGTGTGATAAAACTTTGAGGGAAAGTCCATGTGCAGCCAAGTGACTGAGGTGAGGGTTGATTTGAACGTTCAAAGGGAAATGACGAAAAAGCCCATGGGAAAACATGGGTAATGTGGGGGGTATGTTTAGAAGGGTCACATGAGGTGAGGGGGGCAAATGGGGAACAAAAAAAATAATTTTTTTTTTTTTTAAAGGTAGAATAGTTTCTAGTTAGGGAAAAGAAGGGAGGGTGATTGGAATTTGCCAAACTTGGAAAAATTTGAATCTCCTTTATGCAAAAATGAAGTGACCACTAAAAGCACTTAGGGTTTTGGTGGAGTTTCCTTTATGCTTTCAGCCCTCAAAGCATCTATTTATATGGCAAATTCCTTTCTGATTGTCTCATGAGAGTTATGATTTGGGAAGGTTCCCAAACAAATTCCTTTTCTCTTTCAACTATTTCCCCCATTTTGACCTTATTTGCAAAAGTTGCCCTTTTTTTAAAATAATTAGAATCCCCCCCCCCACATAATTTAACTTCCCTCCTTCCCTCCTTCCCTCTCTCACATTTAGCTAATTTGGAAGGTAAACTCTCCAAATTGGAAGCTTTCTTTTGACTTTTGACTTTTTCTTTCGGCTTAGAATGTAGTGCTTCATTTTAAGACTATAAATTATTTTAATTCATTATATAATTTTTTAAAATAACAAATCAAAGTATTATTAAGGTACATTTTAGGGTTAGGAATATCTCCGAGTTTAAATATTTTTAAAAATATATTTTATTCATTATATATCTATACATACCCTCACTACATTTTTAGCTAATGACTTTTAAAGTCACTTTTTTTTATAATTTAATTAATAATGTTTAAACTAATATAAAATTTCAATTTATTCTTAACAATTAAGATTTTAAAAACACACAAAATTTGACCATTTGAGTAAACCCACAAAATATATATATATATATATATATATATATATAAAGTTAAATACTTTAGTTTATTAACACAAAAAAAATAAAAAAAAATATATTAAAAGTTTATCCATTTATTAAATACAAAATTAAAAATTAAAAAAAAAATGTTAAAACCAATCTGAAATTAAATAAACAGAAAGTAGGTTGATGTGACCAAGGAAGGAGAGAGAAAAAAATTGCATCTTTTTTTCTCTTATTCCTTAGCGTCGGCCATGTATGAACCTTTAATTCAGTGCCAACAGACACCAAGAAAGATCTGTGGCTATTAAATGAGCCTTTCAAGAACACTATAAATATGAGCACCAAATTTGAGCTTATAAAACATACCCACAGTGAAAGAAAGAGCCCTAATTAGCTTCCCTGTGTGTGTGCAATGGCAAGAAGTGTGTCTTCGGAGCCTCTTGTTGTTGGGAGAGTGATCGGAGATGTGCTTGATCCCTTCACCCAAAGCATGAAGATGACTGTTTCTTACAACAATAAGCAAGTCTTCAATGGCCATGAGTTCTTTCCTTCTGCCGTTGCTGCTAAACCTAAGGCTGAAATCCTTGGTGCTGACTTGAGATCTTTCTTCACTTTGGTGACATTTCTTCTCTCTCTATCAATTCTTCATTTCTATATACGATTTACCCCGATGTTTCTCTTTCTGTGTCTACGATGGACCCGATTGTACCTTATCAGATTCAAAATTTTAAGTTGTTAACCTGAACGTAGCTCACTAGTTTAAGACATGTCTCTGTCAAAAGTGCGAATTCTTCCTTGTTGAACAAAAAAAAAACTTTTTTTGAGTTGGGTTATTGTCTGTTTTGACCCGTTACGTATCACTGTTAGCTTTGCGTTTTTAAAACGAGTTTGTTAGGGAGAGATTTTCACATCCTTATAAATAATGTTTCGTTCTTCTTTTCAATTGACGTGGGATCTCACAATCCACCCCTTTCGAGACCCAATATCCTCGTTGGTACACTGCTCGGTGCCTAGCTCTAATACTATTTGTAAAAGTATAGACCTACTGCTAATAGATATTGTTTGTTTTAACTCGTTGCGTATTGACGTTAGTCTCACGATTTTAAAATGCGTCTGTTAGGGAGAGGTTTCCACACCTTTATAGAGAATGTTTCGTTCCCCTCTTCAAATGATGTGAGACCTTATGCTACTCATACCTCAATTAGTTAAGACAGTATATCTTGAAGAAATTATTAAATTTATTATAATCTTTCATTCACCAATTTAAGTATAGATCAGTTACTATGGTAGCGGGTAAGTTTTGAGAAATTATTGAGATATGTTTTCTCTCATCTCTCCATGATTTCATTTCATTTTTTCTTGTTTCAGGTTATGACAGACCCAGATGTTCCAGGACCGAGTGATCCTTATTTAAGAGAGCATTTACACTGGTAACTTTTTTTTTTAACTAAAATTCACACTGGTAATTAAACATTTACAGTGTTACTGTCACAGTTACATTACAAATATTGCATGTGCATGAAACCCACCAAATTTGACTTGACAAGAATTAATACTGAGAGAATCGTTGTCGTGTTTTATTGTCGTTGGAGGATGAAATTCTCTTGGATTTTAGCGAATTTTGCTTATTTATTTTTCTTTCATTTTCATGTAAACTAAATCAAATAACTTTTAATATAACCTATGGTTTGTCTTTTACATTTATTATAAGATATTTTTTTAATAAATACCACTATTATATAGTTGGAACTTGGAAGATCAGCATAATTAGTGGACTGGATTCCTTTGGTGTCTTAATTTAGACCAAATTTGTCAACTTTAAGCTTAATTTCAATTTTAGAAAAATTTAATACATGTCTTATTCAATATATATTGAGATGTCTCGAAGCCCTTCGATCCACGAGCAACATCATGACTATATTATTAGATAAATCTCTATTAATAAACTGATGTTTTGATTTTGAAACTATACCGTGCATTCACGTGCAGTACGATAAGAAACCACGTAGTTGTTAATGAAAGTTTTATTTGTTTGAATAATTATCGATTGATTTGTGTTAATTTGTAAACTTTTAATATAATTTATCCAATATTGTATTGAATAATTACGAAGGATAGAAAATAAATAAATAATTTAACAACCAAACCAAAATAAAGAGGTGGATTGAGTTAGGTTGTGAAAAATTTCGAGTTGGGTTGGGTTACCAATCCAACCAACGTCAACTTTTGAGTTGATCCAAAAAAACTCTCTCGACCCAACTCAACCCGACCCATTACACCCCTAATATTGCTTATATATATGTTAGTGCTTACCGTGCCTTGTGATAAGGAACTACCTAAGCTAGTAGCTAACTCCGATATGTAAATTTAGATATTCTCGTTGAACCACTTATTTAATGTCTAGCTTCTGGAGTGGGAGACAGTTGTGAAGAAGGGTTATTGGGTTTTTACAAAGGTAACTAACAGTTTTTACTGAACAATCTCTATTGCAGGATCGTGACAGACATCCCTGGGACTACGGACGCCACATTCGGTAACTTTTTTAGAGAACGTGGTAAAATGTTTTTAACTCAAAACAGGTAAATTTTGTTGATGAGGTTTGAATGAAACACAGGAAGGGAGGTAATAAGCTACGAGACTCCAAGGCCAAACATAGGAATCCACAGGTTCGTTTTTGTTCTGTTCAAACAGAAGCGAAGACAAACGGTGAGCGCACCCTCTTCAAGGGACCATTTCAGCACACGAGTCTTCGCTGCCGAAAACGACCTCGGCGACCCCGTTGCTGCCGTCTACTTCAACGCTCAGAGAGAAACTGCCGCCAGACGACGCTAAAACCGCCGCGGACGGCGGCCCCAGCTGATTATACAAGACAAAAAGAAAAGAAAAAATATATATATAATGATGGGTCTTCCATTTCCCTAAAGAATAATAATAATAATAATAATAATCACTAAAGGGAGGGAGTTTCAGATTTGTATATTATAAAAAATATATATATGTATGGATCAGGGTAAATAATTTGGACACGAAGAAAGGTGGAAAACGGCGTCGTTTTCTTTTCCTTTCTCGTGTGTCTAGTTGTGCATGTATTTCGCTGGCTCGGTTTAGTAACATTTCTATTTCTTGTTTCTTTTTCCTTTTTTTTCCCGAAAAAAATAATTAAAAATGAAAAAAAAAATGTCGCAAGAAAATATTTACTCTCAGAGAATCAAATTAAAAAAGAATAAAAAATAAAAATTATTCTAATTAGAACAAGTTGTCCAATAAAACTCTAATATTTGGTTCCAATTGATTATAAATATTTAGATAATAAATTAATTAAGTGTTAAGTGCAAGCTTACATTTCACTACTAATAATGCGTTATTATAAAATAAAAGATGTGATTTCTATTAAATAAATAAATATATAAATAAAAATATACACATTAATGAAAATGCCTTTACCTAAAATTCCGATACTCTTTTCAACAAATATTTATAATGAATAAATAAATTATAGATAAAATTTCAATATTTAAAATTCCAAAATTGAACTGTCCGAAGAATCCTACGTCAGCTGAATTAGGGTTTAGTTTTCTCATTGACCTTTTAAAAGGTGTTTGAAATCACAAATTCAAATGAGGATTGATGCTTTGTTTCTAAATTATTGTTTGTTAAAATATTATTTTAGTTTTTATAGTTTAAATTTTGAATAATCTTTTAATTTAAAATTAATTTTCGTGGGAGAAAATATAGATATAAATATATTTTCAAAATTTATTAAAAGAATGTAACTTATTTAATATTATAATTAATTAATGAATTGAATTTATCTAAAGTGATAGTGCTTTATTTATTTGTATTAATTCAAACCAACATAGAGTCTTCGTTGAAGAGTGTTGCATTTAAAAGGGGAATGAAAGTTGATATGACATTTAATATATAAAAATTGGAAAATACACGTGACATTGTTTATTTAGAGAAATTTAAATTCGTAGAAATTAACTTTATTTTACTAATATTTATATGTGTAGTGTCTCAAATTTATAATCCTCTTATACTTTATCTCGACGGTAGACTTTGATGGAGGCTTCTAAATCCTCAAAATTGTTATTATTTCTATATTAAATTAATAAAAATATTTTTTTGAAAATATTTTGAAACTTTTAAAAATTTCAATAATATCATACTTAAAAAAATATTTTTATAGAAGTTTATTTAAATTTTAAAAATTTTAATTAATACTTTTTAATTAAAAAGTACAAAAATACCCTTATTGTGTTTAAAAATATCTATAATTTTTTAAAATTAACATTAACACACTTCATCTTTATAAAAAAAGTTCACAAAATTATTACCATTTTATGCACCTCACGGGTCATCACAAAACTTTTTAAAAAAATCTAAAAGTGTAAGAGTATTTATTTTACTTTTGAAAATCTAAAAGTTTAAGAGTATTTATTTTACTTTTGAAAGTTCATACGTATATTTGAAATGTTGTACTAGCTTTTTTTTTTTTTTTTTTATAATTTTTTTAACCCGTTTGAAGGTATTTTCGAAGTTTTTTAAAAAGTTTGAAAGTGTTTTCGAAATTAAAAAAATTTAAGGGTATTAATAAATTTTTGAAAGTGAGAGGATATAGCCTCGAATGTTAACTATATATATATATTTATTTATTGTATAAAATATAAATTTTAAGAATATTTTTATCATGGGCTTTAGATGAGTTTTTTTATAGAGTTGGGATGGACTCATATTGGGCCCAATTTTTTTTTTATTTTTATGAATTTGGGCTTATTTGAGCTTAACACAAACCCTTTTGAATAGGCTTAAAATAGCACTAATTAGCAAAAGAAAAAAACACTTTTAATAGAGATCTTGTAGGTGGGAACGGAACATTCTTGATAAGAATATAAAAATTTCTTACTAAAAAACATATTTTAAAATTATGAAATTAACGACAATGAGTCATGAGTCAAAGCGGACAATATCTACTAGCGGAGAATTTGAGCTGTTACAATACATTTATATAAATAATAGTGAAATTATAAGACAGCGGATTTATACTCTTACAATATATTTATATAAATAACAGTATAATCGGAAGAGTTTATTACGAAGTATATCCTTATAATTAACCGGCTTGATTTCTCATGAATTCGACCTCAATTATTGTCGGTCAGTTTGTCATGAAACATAGTTATTTGATATATGAATGATAAACAAGTGACAACATTTAATGGGTCTATTTTAATTTAAATTTGAAAAAATGTGTAAGTTTATAATTGGTCTCAAATGTGTAAGTTAACAAGTTAAATCTAATAAAAATTATAATATAATTATATAATTATAATGGAAGTATAATTCAATTATAATTTTCGCGGGAAAATTCCCAAACCACAAAATCAGAAAACCTAACAGATCAATCATCCACTGCTTAACTTCATCTCCGATCGATTAATCAAAGCCTGACGAAGGCCAAAACCCAGCGGCAACTGAAAAGCCTTCTCCAGACGCGTCGGCTCCGGTGGCGTTGCAAATGGAAACATCTCAAAATCGGCGGAATCGGCCATCGGAACGGCATTGGACAAATCGGAGATCGGAAGCAGACAGTTGGCGAGAAGCGCGGCACCGCCGGTAGCCGTGAAGAAACCGTAAGTATCCTCGCAGAAATGCCGCGGAGAAATAATGCTGTTAACGGCCTCGAGATCGATCTCGAAGAGTTCGTCGTCTTCTTCGATTTCCACCGGAACTCCGCTGGAGGCCATGGATGCCGATGGTCGGTGGTAAATACGGCGGAGCTTCAACCTCATTATATAGGGAATGGAGGAAGGAGTGAGGAGAAATCAGGTAAGTGGAACGGTCCTCAACAAATCCGCAACCACCAAGTTCAGGTGCGAAGTTGCTCCCCTAATCCCAATCTGACATCAATCGCTCCTTTTCTTTATATTTTATTCAAGAAAAAATTGTTTTAATCGTTATATCAAAACCATATAACCTAAATTAGAAGGCCCTAAACTTTTATTTTTAATTAGTAAATTAGCACTAAATTGCTGTGATTAAACAATCACTTCAATTATTTAAATATTAAACTTTAATATCTAAAATTAATTTAGATGATTATTTATTTATTTAAATTGCATATCTAAATTATTTGACAAAATATTAGAAGAAATAATTGTTATAAAAAATTAAATCAAGTATAAGTAAACGCAAGTAAAAAATGTGTGTATAAAATATCCAAACACCCTTAGTTTCAAATTACAGAATTGTTAGTGGTTTGATTTTGAGTCTTTGAGTGGGGGATTGGTGGTCGAATTTTGTCAAAGGGTAACATTTATAAAAAAATCGTTTATTCATATATTTATTTTTTTAAAAAATGTTTGGAAGTAGTTTCCAAACAACCCTTTGGATTAAAAGTGAATCATCAGCAACCCTAAATTATTATCAATTTTGGATTAATTGGCCAGAAAAAACGAAATATTTCTTATAAGAGTAAGTGTAAAAACCTTTAAAAACCTTGAGTGAAAACCTAAAGAAGATGATATCGGCTAGTGGTGGTCTTGATGCTGTTACATAATATTTGTTAATGGTAGGATTGATGTTGTTGCAAATGGTATTCAAAGCTAGACTAATGTGGCAACACAACACTGAACCCTCGAGACTAAGCCCCTCAAGAGCAAGGGTAGATTATGAAATACCACATTAGTTTGAAAGAAAAATAAGACATTCATTATAAAGGCTCGAAACACCTCTTTGAAAACGAGAAACAAAGAGAACAATATACACTAACCAAAAATATTATCCTTAAAACTCTCTCAAATCTGTAAAATTTGTAAATATGAGGAGAAATAGAGATGATAAATAATAATAATAATAATAATAAACAAATCTGGGAGGATTTTTTCAATACTAATAAAGGCATCTTCCACAAACTAAAAATGAATTTCCAAATTTCCAAAACTTCTTAATGCCTGGAAAGAAACACTAGAGAAAATACTTCTAATTGCTGTTTCTCGTTTTTAAGCGACCAAGGCTAAAAAAGATCAACACAAAATGCCTTCCCCTCCATCTCTCATCAAATGATGATACCACAGAGATACATGAAGACTTATAATGCATGAAAATCTTGAGTAGAGTAATTATATATATATATATATATATATATATATATATGATGATCTAAATGATAAGACCAGCATGGCACAGAGCAACAATCAAAATGATTTCTTTATTCAAAACAACCTTCAACCTCTAGACATGAGCAACTTGTGGGTAACTGCAACAATTCAAGCCTACCGCTAGCAGATATTGTTCTCTTGGGGCTTTCCCTTTCGGTGTTCCCCTTAAGAATCTAAAACGCATCTACTAGAGAGAGCTTCCACACTTTATAAGGAATTCTTAGTTCCCCTCGATGTGGGATCTCACAATTCACCCCCGTTGGCGGCCCAACATCCTTGTTGCACACCGCCCGATGTCTAGCTCTTATACCATTTGTAAGAGCTCAAGCTCACCGCTAGTGGATATTATCCTCTTTGAGCTTTCCCTTCTGGAGTTCCTCTCAAAGTTTAAAAACGCGTTTATTAGGGAGAGATTTCCACACCCTTATAAGGAATGCTTAGTTCTCCTTCCCAACCGATGTAGGATCTCATAGTAACCTAATCTATTTCTTCAATATGGATGCACAAGACAACCATAAACAACAGATTATGTCAATAAAAGAGCCTACTACCTCTGCTAGTTAAGGGCAAGGGAATATTACACTTCGAGATCGGAGGTGTCATAATAGAGTTATACAAGGACATTGTAGACACAACCCCTCAAAGAAAATACCATCAGAGAGGCCCTAGCCAAAACGTAGTTCAGTAGAGAAAGCCAAAAGGCCAATGGAACATGCTACAATTTTGCCACATTGCCATCACTAAAACATTGAACATGATCCCGCTTATATACAATGCAGACGACAATTTGCAGAATTTTGAGGTTTATGCCATGAGACTCGATTCTTCCACAGAAAAACAAGCCTAGAGATGAACTTCAAATCTTTTAAAACAATGCATGAGGATGCTGTCTTACCAAGGCAAAATATGGTGCAAACAATGATCCAGAAGAAACAAGGGAAAGGGGAATTAAGGAGATAATAGAAACATCAAGATCAAATGCACATGCAACTAAACTTGTCTCCAAGACAATTGCTCATAAGGGCATTGCTATTTATTGAACCTTCAGCCAGAGGGAATCATTAACCAAACACATCATATGCACACTATACACTTAAAATGTAGAATTAGAACAATACGGCAGCTCAAAATAAACACAAAACTAGCTTATCTCTTACAGGATTAAGTGGAGAAAAACTGAACATTCTGAAGCACAAATAAGAAATTAAAAGAAATGGACTTCCCATTACTGCATCAAGTTTCCCTTCCCATCATCAATCATCAGTCTTCACCTACTTTCACGTAATCAATATAGTAACAAAAAAAAAATCAGTACTGAATGTTTTCTTCTTCTTTTTCAGTAAGAAGCAAAGAATGTCAACGCTAATCACAAAGCTGAAGTTGCAGTATTAGAACTAAAATATAACTAACAACGAAAAGAGAGTGAAAATCAAAAAACAAGCATATGCTATCAACCCACGGTGCTCATCCCCACCATCGGCAAGAGAAACCATGAGACTCGTACAGATCCTAGTTGCCCACAACACGAAAACTCCGGCGACTCCGGATCTCAATATACCGGCTTGCGGCAGGAACAAAGACACGGCCGAAAAAACCACAACAGGCAACATACAGTACCCAACTACGCTAGTACATGTGTGAAGGTTCAAATTACCATTTCGTCCAGCCAACATATTGAACACGACATACAGGAAGATGGAAGAAACCACGATCCATCCCAGTATCACGCCAAATTGGATCTTGCCGGCGAGCAACTGGAAGAGGCCGAAGAACATGTATAGGAGAATCGGTCCGGACAAATCCGAGTCCTTGTGCACATCGGGTTTGACCCGGAACGGATTCAAGATCGACTTGGTTTTCTTCCAGATTTGATCCGGGTGGATCCCGAGTTCATCGAGGAGGGGTTCTTCGTCTTCGAAATTAGCACCACCAGGGACAGACCCGCCACCGATAGGACCTCCATAGATACCGCCAGAGGACGTGGAAGCAGCGGCGGCGGATCCGATGTCGAAGGACATAAACGGAATGCTGGAGCCAGTCGACCGAGGAGGCTGAAATGGCGCCGTCGCCACACCCCGTTGGTGAAGATTGGGGTTGCCGCCAGAGGGGAAAACCACCGGTGGTACAGCGAACTCCTTCTTCACCGTCCCCATGGATTACAAAGAACAAAACCCCGAAATATGAAATCTCAAATCGATTACGAGTAGAAGTCAAAACCGAAGAACGATTTTGAGATTTAGGGATTCAACTCGAGATCGAATGCCCTACAGGGTAAAGGAAATGGGGAAAGATTAGCAAGAATTCGATACACGAGAAAGTAAAAAGAATAACATGTTAAAGAATAAAAAAGTTTATATAGTACAAAACAAGGAAGGGCATATCTGACTTTTCGTATTCCGTTTCGACTAGTTGATGTGGAAGTGGGGACGAGTGCAAGGCGAAACAGTTTTCGAAGTGTCTGAATGTGTATGTGAAACTACATTTTTCTCCCCCATCCTTCTAGAAAATACGAATTCGTATTTCTTGCTCCAAAAGGTTTGTTCGTATGGCGATAATTATTTTATTTTTTTTACTACATTAATATAAATATCTCTAAATTTTATATTTTTATCTAAAAAGGTAGTTTCAAACGCGTAACAAAATAGTTGGTTGTGCATATTGTCACAGTCATGTTTGTCCAAACCGTGTTATTTATGACTGCATGTCGAAGGTGTCGATCATGCTTATCTAAGACATGTTGTCCATGATCGCATTCCTATTTCAAACCCTTTTTACATGCTTTCATCTTAAATATGCCTCTACTATGTCAATACAGGGCTATATGACCATTCACCAAAAACATGTCCACACCTGCTATGGCTAAAATGTCTTAAAATATTCGGAGATAATAACTAATTGTTATTTTTTTATACTCGAATTATATGCTATTAATGTTGTTGTTGTCGTCTAATTACTTTTAGCTTATAACATTGCTTTCTTTAAAAAAAAAATTTAACGAATTTTCTGGCTCACGTGTTCTAAACACATTTCTCACATTTGTGATTCAAGGCTCGAGCATATGTTGACATTGTCCACGGAATTCAAATTTCTTCCGGTTGCACAATAGCTGTCCTGCTACCACAGAGGGAGGGAAAACAGGAGGAGGGAAAAGGTGGTTTGACTGATTATGGAAAAGGTGGTTTGACTGATTATGGAAAAGGTCGTTTGACTGATTATGTTCCCATATTGGGGTTAATTGAATAAATTGAAAGATAATGAGAAGGGAACTCTCGGACTTGGAGGCAATCCCGATTCAACTAGGCTTGCACGAGGTGGCGGGTGATCAGACACAAGGTGAATTCGAACTACGAGTTCAACGGAAAGCGGTTGAGATTCCTCTTCAGATCCAGTTGCGAAGAACAAATTCATCGAATGCTGCGCTTTAGGTTTGCTTGATGAATCGAACCATGGGGGAGGAAGGTTGTTCGGTCTCCAAAGAAGTGGAAGTGGCAGTCTGCATGGCTATGGCTCTGTTCTACGTCGCCGTTGTCCATTCTCCTGCTTTGATACTTCCGTCTATCACCTCCTCCTTCTCTTCAAGTTTACATGATTCGACGGTTTCTGTTCGCCATCATTTTCACCGCCGTCTCAGTCGTCGTCTGCGCTCTAATCCTTCCTGTAAGCCTCATTTACTTTTTTCCGGTCATTAATTTCTGAAAGGATGACTATATTGTTTGTATTTGTAATGCGTCTGCTCAGGAATCATCTCAACGTGGAATCACTTCTCCTTCTTCGAGTTTAACTGTTATTATTCGTTTATTTCTATCCGGAACAATCTTAAGAGAGAATAAACTATAAGGCTGTTTCGTTGTCAGGAAACGTGCGACTATGGTTCACCTAAGATAGAATGGTCAATCAATATCCTCGATAGACTGTTTAAGAATTATTTTATCATGTGAACTACAAGTAAACTGATCGGAATTTGTTAACATTATTATTTATGGTTTTAATTTGAAAAACGAAGTAGCTTTTGATTTAGAAAACGAATTGTTCATCTATAACATGTAGTCAGGGGCTATCAAGGTTGACTGATTAACGAATCTGTTGGATCCATTGTATCTAATAGACCTGGGAACAAGAACTCCATATAGACACAAACATAATAACCTTTCTCAGTATTTAAGTGAACCAATTACTATAGAGCATAAGATTAATCAATCAATCTATCTGGCAAATTAGAGATTTGAAATTGTTACTTTCTAATTACCATGCAAAGGAAGATATTATATAGACGCAACTTCTTGTTCGTAGTTCTATGAGTTTCAATTGTTCACAGGAATTTGTCACTCAGTGAAGCTTTATTAAACTGATTATAAGTGCTTAGTCCGTAATTTACTTATTTGGTTGTGCTAGGTTTCCATCACAATGCTGACTTTCCCCTTCTCATTTTGTTTCATGCTAGATAAGGAAAATGGAGTTTTCACTGTTATTAGCAGCTTGCGGTATCTGAGCAGATCATATTGTAAGTACCAATATTTTATCCTCCATTAAATAATACGCCATGGCATTAGCTAAGGTTTTCTTTGACATTTTATTCAATTTTATAATCTTGTAGTCTGCATATTGGAAAGGTGAAATGAATCCTAAACTTGCATCCTGAATTGCAATTTTATCTATGGAGCAGTGGCAAGCCGTGTTCTTTCCTCTTTCATTGACTTCTTTAATGTAGGTTGGATTAATGGTTTTAAAGTCTTTGTTATTGGTGGATTCATGGAGAGAGCATATGAATCACGGAGAAGGCTCCCTTTCGGACTGTGCTGAATTTTTTTGGACGAGTTCTTGATCGGGGACTATTAACAGTCTCAAATCTTTTAGCTTGGAGAAATTATGTTGTGGTGAGTACTCCTACAGTTTTTTCCATGCCATTTGGGTCCTCGTTGTTTCCCGTCTATTTAAGAGCAAAGAGATCACTTATAGTTAGCTTTATTGTAGGCTTCTTGTGATGAGTAACAGCATGCTAGTATATATTCTTGAAATATTTCTCTCAGCTGCCTTCCTTTCATATCCTGAGCAATGCTCTAGGCTTTACTTATTTGACAATTTTCTATGAGTAAGCTCCATGAGTTGGGTGGGAAAGAAAAATGTACGGCTTGGCTTTGCTCTAAATCTCACTTGCATACGTATTATATTCGAACTAGATAAGTAACGATAGTAACTTGATTTATGTGGTTACCTGAATCCTTTTACTCAATCACTGAAGATTCACAATTCGGTTGGGAAGGCTTTCACTGATGTCCAATGTTCTGAATTCCACTCGGGAGTAAAGGATGCTGTTATTTTGAGTTTTTGAGTTGACCTATCTATAAAATTCAAATAGATATCTTGTTTTCCTTGACACTAAGTAGCAAAGGTCATTAGATGTCAATAAATAATACTTTAAGCTGTGTCAAATGAACCTTCTTTACTTGGATTTCTTGGTTGACATTTGCATCACACATTCTTGGACAGGCTCCACTAACTGAGGAGTTGGTGTTTTGAGCATGCATGATACCAGTTCTTCTATCTGGGGGGATTTAAGCCAACCACTATGATTTCTCTGCTCCATTCTTTTCAGTCTGGGTAAGTTTGACGCTTCATTGTTTTGGCAGATGAAACTGCTACATGTATGAGTTTGTGCATGTAGCCTTATTTATTCATTTTGGGGCATGACTTTATGCTTCCCTGTACTATTTATTGTTTATCTGGAATTCTTCATGTTTTCCCCTATTTATATGAAAAGGGGAAAACATTGCAAGGGTTTAAGCTTAAGTTTTTCCCTTATTAAATGACCACTAGACTTGTACGTTATAAGCAAATTGATTTTAGCTTATGTTCTCACCAAACCTATTTATAGATGCTAATGGGAAGGGTGATGTTTAACTGACTCCTAATGTAAGCAATTAATTGTATTAATGTTAAGAGTACAGGGTAGGACAATATCTTTTGGTGCTTTCCTTTAGAACTTTCGTTCCAAGAGTTCTGTAATGTATATCCTTCTTTGAGCATTTCCAATTGGAATGTTTTCTCGCGGTTGAATGGAAGTGGCTTCTGTCTAGTCCATAACCTTCAATGATATGTGTGTATGTATGTATATTCCCCTTCCCCGAAAGGAAAAAATGACATCTAAGATAGTTTTTTGGACTTGGTTCACAAAGCCAGCCACTAATGTTTATGCATTTATCACCATTGCAACTGAGGGTGGATTTGATGGAAATTGGATGTGTTTAGTATACCTTCTAGTTTAAGCATTTTTAAAAAAAATATATTTTCAACAGAAATGTTTTATGCCTTACATTTTTTTTTAAATGGCTTAAAAGTGATTACATTGACTATTAAAATGTTTTGTTTTCATGTTACATATTTTGAAGATTTTTAGTTGATGATTGTAAAATCATTTATGGATAATGCATCTCTCTGTTTCTTTGAAAAGAGTTTTTAAAATTAATCCAACTTTCTGAAGTGTTTTTATTTATTTATTAAGATAAGATTTAAAAAAAGAACATTTTGGATCATGGAAAGGCAAACTAGACACTTCAATTATTAATTTTTTTCAAAGGTGTTTATAGAAAATTTTGATTATACTATACCAAACACACTAGAAGTCTGTTATAAAGAAATGTCACTAATGCCGGGATATTCCTTGCAGGCAATCTTCTTGCCCCGTTAGTTGCTCGTGTTTTTTGCAACCTTATGGGATTACCTGCTTTTTTTTCTCAAAGAAGAGGTACGTTTTATATTTTTGTGATCTGAGTTCATCAATAACCCAAGAATCATGATAATAAAAGAATCAAACTTATTCCCCTTCGCCTCTTTGTACAGGAGAAATATGTTCCAAATTTCTCATACTTATTACAATTCCATATGGCTACACTGATCTGTTTGCGACCTTGCTTTCTAAGAAGGTTCTCTCTGTGTTCATTGTCTAAATGCAAATAAGTGGTTGATATGGCGGTTAATGTCCGCCAAAAAGAATGTTGAAAGTTAAAACAATGATAGATCACTCTGTCTAGCACACAGGTCATTCTCATTTAGGATTGGATTTGAGTCCATAGAGGAAGTTGAATTGTTATAGGTTCATTAATAAGAATTCTTAAATTTTTCTCCAAATTAAATTCCACATGCAGCAATGCACCTTGTGGAATCTAATAAGCTGAACTTAACCCTTTGTGCTAAATTTCTGTTTTGGACACTTCTCTTTTCTCTGTTCATTTCTGTTTATGAATTTAACTTCGAGTTGAAGATATCTTTATCTAAACATCCAGAGGTGGCGAGCCTGGCATTTCTAGTTGGAAAGGCGGGGGGTTCCTATGGTCTGTTTTTCCCATGACAAGTCCACATTTGTTTAATGAGAGAACAAACATCTGTAGGTGTTGGCATGGATATTGCACTTGGAACTAGACTGAAAAATCTTCCGAGAAAATAATCCTACTGTAGATTAGACAGAGAGTTGGGACGAAGAGAGAAAGAAAGAGAAAGAGAAAGAAGTAGAAGAAGATGTGTTACTGTATCTACATTCTGCTGTATTGACCAATGTGCCAAGGCTGTTTATTGGGTATAAAACCTAAGAATATATCTTCTCTTGCTTGTGAGTTGTAATGGAACAAGAATTAGAAAATACAAGGAATTCAATGATTAAAAGACATTATTGATTGTTGTTTGAATGAAGGTGTTAGGCATCGAAGGATGTTGTTTTGGACCAAAGCAAGAAAAAAGGTTTGCGTACTGAACCAGTTTCCATTCAGCTTCTGAAACCCTTCCACTCTTGTAGATATTGTAATGATGGCCCCAAATCCGTAGGGTACCCTGCAAATTGAGGATCTACCCCCATTAAGTTATCTTCATCTTGTTTAAGTCGAACATCCTCCTCAAAGTTGCAAGAATTTCCATTGAAATTTCATGGAAATAGTGAAGGAGAAAGCAAATATAAGTCATACCGTATTTTGATCTCATATCATGTTAGTAGTGGGAATATGTTCGGAGTATAAGATTTTCAAGTTCTTTTTCATAGTTTATTTCTTCAAATGATCTTCTAGAATTACTTAAGTGGTTTTTTTCATTTTCAAAATCGTTAGACTATAAATAGTGGTCGGATAAACTCGATCTTATGAAACTTGTACATATAGGTCTTTACAAGTTAGACTTTACTAGATTCTTACAGCATGTTCTTTTATTCCATCCAAACATTATTAGATAAAGTTAGACATTTTAGTATTGAACTTATTGAAATGGTGAGTCAAATACTGAATGGGGTTAAGTTAGAAATCTTGAGCATGGTCAGAAAATCAAAGAAACAAGCCAAGAGAAGAAGGAAAATCTGAGGAAAATGATGACTATCTATGATGGTTTAAATGGACCAATTTGCTTGTTTTCCATGAAGAAGGAAGAGAAATTCAAATGGGTCATCATTTCTTTGCCTTTCTTCTCAAATTTGATCTCAATGAGTTCTTGAAGCCTCAGAGGCAGGGCCTAGAACAAACAGCCTCAAGCTAGGCCTGTAATTCAATGGAGTTTTGGATTGGACATTGTTCTTTATGATATCTTTATCTATTATATATTTCTTCTTTTTCTTCATTTAAAAAAAAAAGAACTTATAATAATGGTCAACCTGGCAACACAGAGCTACGTCATGTCCATGGGTTTCATATTTTATTGCCTTTTTTTATAGATTTTTTTCCAAAATTTAATGAACTCTTTCATTGACTTTTTCATTTGATTTTTTTACTCTTTTTTTTGTGTGTCTGTGATGACGTTTACCTACTGATTAGATCCTCCCATCACTTTCTTCTCAGATGGAATCCGAATGAAAAGCCCCCTTTCTTTTCTTTCATTTATTTTGCATTCTTTTAAAATTTATTGGGGGAAGTCATTAAATTGTGTACTAATTTTCAATCTTCATTTTATAACTTTTGGTTTAATGTTAATGCAAAATGAAATATGAAAAAACAGTATATTTTTAGTTCTTGAAATCTTTCTTTGTGTCAAGTTTTACTTTTAGAAACTTATTAAAACTATTTCTCGAAGTAAAAGTGTTGCGTTTGAAAATTTCAGGAGCATGAAGATGAAGCTTTTCCCGATCTCAAGAAACTCGATCAGAGGTAATTAGTTGAGATTTATCAATAAAGTGAAATTATATCAATATAATTGAGTTAGGTAAATAATTGAAGCTATTTTTTCTACCTCAAACAAGAATAAAGAAATATAAATCTTAATTTCAAACAAGTCTCTCTCTTTACCCAGCTCAACCCCTTCCATGCAAGATAACCACGTCTCAAACCAATAAAAAAAAAAAAAAAAAAACCATGACAATGTAACGTAAAATCAGAACTTAGGAAGGAAGATATGAACATGCATATAATTAATAAGCTTTTAAAAACATTCCCACATGGTTGTCTTCACTAGACAAAATTCATTATTCTTTCAAATCTTTTAAATGATCTCCTACCCTTTATTACCCAATTAAATAAAATTTTAAAAACAAAACAAAAAATAGGGAAATACCAGCCCTGTTCATCTTTTTGGGAATCTTGGCTTTGAAACTTACCAAAAACTACAAACAAAAATGATAATGAAGCCACTTGAAATTGGGTGCCTTACTGATTTTCTTTATTGCAAAGACATGATTTTAAATACTGTCTCAAGTGTTCAAATTAAATGGATATGAACAAACCCATTTAAGATTGTTTAATTCAATCAAAATTAGATATGAGAGAGAAAGAAAGAGATTATAGTCTGAAAATGGTTTTCCATTAGATAGCCTGATACATCATTTTGAAGTACAGAAAATCCATATCCTAAACCCCCAAAAAAGATGTGAAAAAAGAAATTAAAAAAAAAAAAAACTGATTGAGAGAGAAAGAAGATGCTAAAGCTACAGACTGTCCTACATAACTGAAAACCCAAACTACATGCTACTGTTGGCTATGGTAATTCACAAAAAATGAAACCATTAAAAAAAGAAAAAGAAAAAGAAAAAAAGAGTAACTTTAGTGCGGTCATGATATCATCATCATCTTCTTCATCTTCTTCCATTGATATGATCAGTTGGAAGAATTTGAAGGATTTGCAGAGGAGAGATTAAGATCAGGGATTGATTTTGAGGAATTGGCCTTTGAACTTCCTTTAGATAATTTCTGCTTCAGTTCCGAAAGCAGTGCTTGATTTTCTTGGTTCAAAAGTTGAGCTTTCTTCCTCAGTCTCTCATTTTCCTTCATTATGTAACAGTTCTGCAAGTACAGCTCTGAGTTTAGCCTCTCCATATCCTCAGATAATTTCACGACTCGATCAATTCGATTGATTATAGATATAATATATCTATATATCAATCAATTCTTCTTTCAAATTCCAAAAACCCTTCTCCTCCCTGAACAAAAAACAAGAGAACCCAATCAGAAAAAAATTCCAAAACCAAAAAGAAAAACAGAGAAGATTAGGAATTAGAAGCAAACAAGTTGAAAACGAGTTGAAGGCTGAGATGGGTTTTGAATTAGATATTCAAAAAAGGATGAGTTTGATTTATAGAGACTGATAAATCCAGCAGTGATTGAGAAGAAGAAGCTCTGGCCTTAGCCATATGTAATAATGCGGGTTGGAAGAGAAAGAGACAGAGAGTAGCAAAACCACACTCATTGTGAGAGAAAGAGACAGAAATGGGTTGTTCTTTGGGTTGCCCATATATGAAAGAAAAGGATAATTAAAGTAAGATTAAGCCACTTATAAGCAGCTAAACTAAAACACCATAAAAGGCTTCAAATTTTAAAAGCTTTTCAACCATCCCCTGAACCGCAAGGAACAACACAGAAACAGAGGAAATCGGGACATTAATGCCTTCAAAACACAAGAGAAGAAGAAGAAGAAGAAATTAGAATTAAGAAGAACAAGAACAAAAAGAAGAAGAAAACAAAGGAAGTACCCCACAGCACAAGGGTATGTCGACCTTTCTTGGTGAAAGGGGAAGCAAGAAGAGAAGCAGAAGAAGAAACCAAACATTAATATAAAAAAAGAAAAATGTATGTAGAGAGAGAGAGAGAGAAGAGAGAGAAAGTGGGTCTTCTGTGTTTTTTCTTTATCTTTTCAAAAAAGATCACCTTTTGAAGTTGGGCAGAGAGAAGTAAACAAAAACAATCTGGATTTCGTAACAGAAGCAGAGGCAGAAGACGAAGGAGAAGAAGAAAGAAAGGCACAATGGGAACAAGTGAGGGACAAATGAAACAAAGAGGCCGTTAATTTATAGAGTCATAGCTCAAGAGAGAGAGAAAAACCCAAAACAAAAAAATAAAAAATAAAAATAAATAAAAGACATTGAGACATTAGACATGAGACATGCCCCTCCTCTTTCTGACACAACAATCATGCAAGTGTAAGCATGGAAGGCGGCCGGTTATAGCAAGAACCTCAAAAATATATCATTTCTTTTTCTTTTTTATTTTTTTATAAATAAATATTTTTAAAATAAAAAGAAAATATATTTAGGTTTGGTTTGTATAAGAACGATGAGGATGATTGGGAAATGGCATGATGGGTGGAGAGGGGTAAATAGGGGAATTAAAGAAGGGTATTTCGGTCATAAAATCCAACATTTATGGGGTTAAGAGAGGGACAATTATGGGACTTATGGCTAGGGCTTGTAAAATGATGGTGGGCTAAGGCCGTCCCAAGATTCGCAATGATGGGTTGGATTGGCTTCTAAACCATCATCACACCCCAACTATCTCAAAAACCCTTTTTTTTCTTTCTCTTTTTGCCCCTCTTTTATTATCAATTATATATAATAATTAAATTAAAAGAAAAAAACTAAATTTTGTAGTTCCATTTCTAGCCCTCCTTTCATTTCCCTTTCACATTTCTAATCTCTTTGTGTTGGTTACTATTGGTAATAATCATTCTTTCTCTCTTTTTTACCCTTTTTTTTATTACCACTTCTTTTTCCACATACAACTTTTCTTTACCCACTTATTTATTTTGGGGGGGGGGGGGGGGGTGGTTTATACCTTACTTGCAATGTTGTATTTCCTCTTCTTCGAGCTCAACCACCAAAAATTTATATGATTTAGGGTTTGGATCCCAATTCATGTTAGAAATTGGACCCTTTTCTTACCCATTCTCAAATGGAAAAAAAATATTGTTTTTTTTAGTCTTTTCACTTGGTGGGTGTTTGTAAAATTTAATGAACGTTTTCAAGAATAGTAAAAAAAATATATTCTTTTTAACTTTAGTTGGGTAATCGAAAGAGACTAGAATCTATAAAGTTGAGCTAAACACGTGATCTTTATTTTTCAGATGGGTGGAAAAAATGTCATTTTTTCTCTTGTAAGTATGGTTGTTCAAGGTAGTTCACCGTATATCGACTAATTAATTTCTTGAGAGGATTATCTTATTGTTTACGTACATGTAATTATGTGGCTCTATAATACTCTTGGGGGACCATTTTTAACTCCTAGAATTTGAACCCATTGATGATGGTATTTTGTTTTACATTATTATAAACCATTATTACAAGGAAAGCAAGGATAATGAATGAAAGCAATGGACAAAAAAATGAAGGAAGAAGAAGAAGAAGAAAGAATTGGTTTGAAATACAATTGGAAGAAGGAAAGAGAAGGGTAGGGGCCAGCCAGCCTCAAGCCCTCTCATGGGTTATGAGTAGCTTAGTGTGAAACATCATGGGGTTCCACAGATGCTCTTTTGGAATGGCTCCATATGATTCAAGGGCATTTTCGTCTTTTCTTCCCCCTCGTGGAGCTCGTTCTTCCCTCTATGTGTTGGCATCAACGCAATCATGGAGCTCAAAACAATTGGGTTAGTGTTGCACAAATTACCTTATTGCCCCTTTAAAGCTTTTCCTCTTCCAATTTTTACCCTATTTGGCTTTTGAAGACTTCAATTTGATCCTCTTTAACTCATTTTAATGATGAATGGTTATTGAGTGGTATGGTGGAAAGTACCCTTTTTCTCTTTTATTCAACTAAAGGATAGTTTGCATGGTTCGGTGATCAATCTAGTTTCGTTGGATATTCTTTTCTATAGCTTTTGAAATTGGTCCGATTATTCACTCATTTTTTCTACGAAAAATCACTTTTTTGAGATAAAATATCGATACTTTATCAGAATCTCGATGAGTCAAAATAAGTGAAGCTTTACCATTTTAGGAATTAATTGCTACTATCGAGTTTTAAGTAGACGACTATTACAGTTTCTTTATTTATTCAATTGTCAACGACATAGGCTAATCCATGATATTTGTTATCTCGAGTCTTATTTTATCCGACAAGAAAAGGTCACACAAGATTTTTTTTTTTTTTTTGGTGACAAAAAGAGTTTCTTACTGATTGATGTGGGTAATATAAGTCAAAAGTGATACTCTTTTAGTCAAATATTTGTTCACCATTTTAATTGAAAAAAGAAAAAATGAAGATCTCTATAATAATTATTTTAAATTTCAGAAACATAAATAGAGAAAATGGCAAAATCAGAAATTAGTGGGGAAAACGTGGCCTATGTTTCTTAATAAACTCAAAAAAGAAATTTGCATTTATTTAAAGACTTGGCTTAGAAGATGACAAGTTTGAAATCATAATCCTATATTTTGTCAGTTATTTTTATATTTTATAATCATTGGATTTTCTGTTTAGAGAGAGAGAACCATACACACATGCATTAAATATTATTATAATAATTTTTAAATAAATAAATAAATATATATATATATATATATATATATTTGTAATTGCACTTTTTCTAACATTTTTTAAATTTAGTTCTTTACTTTATGAAATTACTAAATAAATGATTTTCTTTGAAATAAAGCACACATTAGCCACATGCTTATTTTCTTCTGAGGATGTTTTTGAGATTTTCCCTTATTTTTTTAATTAAAAAATTAAATGGAAATATGTAATTTTGAATTGAAATATATAATATTTAGTCAATATTTTAGTTTGAAAAAATCAATTAAGCCTTTCATATCAATGGTGAAGACTTCCCATTTATAGATAAATGACAAGATGGGGGAAGTAAAACAGTAATTTTTCCCCTTGGAAATTGGTAAAAAAAAAAAAAAAAAAGTAATTGTAATTTTTGAGAGGTAAAAGTTGGAGGGTCCTTAAAACCCATGTCTTAAAAATCCAATTCATCAAAAGCTATGATAGGGGCTGCAAAGAAGGGGAGGGAGGGTCTGCCAAAGAAGTAAATTTGGAGGCTAATAGCCTCAATGAATCTAAAGGGTTATAAATTGGGTCTGCAACAAACCAATCATGACATGCCCTAAAAATAAAGGGTCTCTTCCCCCTTCACCAATTTGCAATCCTTACCCTCCCCTTCCTTTAGAGCCATCCCCCTCTTAAATACCCTCTCATCCCCAACTTCCCGATCCTTAAATCTCGACAAGATTCAAATCATTGATCTCTTGGTAGAAGGTATATGTCTTAACTAATTACGCTATATTCACGTTCCCCCTTAGTCCAAAAAACCCATTAGACAAATCCTGCCACACACTTGAGTTAGAAGTCATTAAAAAGGGTGAATTCAATTAATTTTGACATCTTGTCGTAAAGTGGTAATATAAAATACAACACTCAACATATAGACAGTGTTTGAAATGAGAAAAAGTAACGTTATTGTATATGTTTGAGTTTACAAGACCTCTTACTTTCATAACGTGTTAGACGATTGATTACTATTAAACACATAGTCTCGTGTCAATGCACAAAGAATTATTGAATCCAATATCAAAACAACAGTCATGATCAAAAAATTTGATCTGGGTTATGCTTACATGTCAGTATGGTAAACAATCGAATCACAATTTAATCAATTAAACCACAAAAAAGATAGAATGGAGCATGGTCATAAATAGGGAAGATGAGGAGGAGGGGAAGAAAGGGCATTGATGAACACTTACACTACCCATCATCATCATCATGTGCAATTGTTACATTTTGGCCTATAATTACAATTATGGAACCAGAGTCCCCAACTGGCTTGTTTTAGCCCTAATTGGTCCCTTTATATCTCTATCTCTCTGTCTCTCTCTTGCTCATTCAATCCAAACAACTCGTATAGAGAGGAATGATTATGTGACCAAAGAGAGAAGAGTGAGTTACAAAGTTGACCAATTGATTTGGATTGGACAGCATTGATGTAAAGACATGTGAAAATCTTTCTATTCTTTTTTAATCCTTACTTTCTTATTTTTATTTTTACCCCAAATCCTAATCTTTTTAATGTCCATACACTTTCACTCTAAAAACTCTTCGACAAACCGCAAATTTATTTGTCTAACCAAAAGAAGCAAACAAGAGCTCGCTTTTTCGGTCAATCTAAGCTTGAAAAAGCTTCTAAATTTTTTACTTTTATGTTTGGTAGGTTATTGACCAATTTCAGTATTGAAAATTTAATTTAAGATCTTATAAAAATTCTACTTATATTTAATAGATTAGTTATTTTAATAAAAATTTAATCATAAATTTATTAGATACAAAATTGGAAGTTCACAGTTTATTAATTTTTTTAGATACAAATTTAAAAATTTATAATTTAACCTATAAAAGGGATAAATTTAACTCAATCAATTAATAAAATTTAAAAGGAAAAAATATGAAAATCCAAAGATTAGTATAATTAAGCTTTAACCAATTGGATTTGGGTGGAATTGGAGGGCCTCCCTACAATTATTTGGGGTTAAAAATGAAAGGAGGTGGAATTACTGAAATGGGGCGGAAGGGGGAAGGGGATGGCGAGGGGAAGGAAGGGCAAATAAGGGAATAGGAAGATAGAGAGGGGGGGTTTAATGGGCCACCAAGCTTTTTCTGAGGTCATTTATAATGATTTCACATAATAACAAAGCCCTGCATGGCTAATGATGTTTTCTTTTTACATTATTACAGCTTAGTAAGTGCATTGAACCCTACACGTGAGCTACCCCCCTTCCTTTTTTCCTTTTCTTTTCTAAAACTTATTATTGGGGGACCACACGTGTGAATAGTTCTGTTGTAAAACCACCTTTTACTTTCACACGTACCACTTTTCTTTTCTTTTCTTTTCTTATTATTTATTTTCCTCCAATACCCAATAAACTAATTAATTTCAATTTCAAATCAAAAGATTTCTTGAAGAAATAGTTGGGTATGTTTAATGGTTTGTTTTGGAATAATTTAAAATTTTTAAACAATACATTTAATTACGAAAAAGAAATGTTAAATAAATATTTTTGTCATTTGTTTTTTTTTAAATGAGTTTGTTTAAAAAATATGGTATATAAACAAAAATTGTTATTAGCTCAATCTAAAACACTCTTAATCTTTAAAAAAATGCATTAATACACTTGACATTCGAAAGAAAAAATTGCCCACATCGAAAGGTATATAGGCTCTAACGATAAGAAAGAGAATAATAGAATCACCAAGCATATCTTAGGACTTAAATATTTTAACAAAATTGTATGTTAGTAGTTGAGCGTATATGTTATTTGTTCGAGTTTAATATAGTTTAAAAACAGTACCAATTAGCATATGACATGGGTAAAGAAAAGATGTGAAAAGAAAACATATGAAAATAATTAAATTTTCTTTTTGGCTTTATTTGTGCAGTTTCAGAAAAGGAAAGAAAAAAAAAAAAAAAAAGTGAACAAAATTTCCAAATGATTTAAACTCGACCTAAGCGAATCTAAAGTCTTCTCAAGACTAAGTGGGATTTCCTTTCTAAGTGGTTTGACAACTTTTATGATGTTCAATCCACTAAGTTTAGTTTGTCATTAGATTCTGCTCTTTAAAAAAGAATCCATTTCCATCCAAATCTAATCTGTTATTATGATCCATCATCAACCTAAAAAAGAAAAGAAATTTCACGACAGCAAAACACCACTTCTTAGGGATTGGGCTTGGGGTAACTCTAAATCAAGAAGTCAAATCTATCATAGATACCAATTGATATCACTCAATTTGATTGTCAAATAAGCTCAGAGGATTTTGAATCATTAGTGGATGGTCTCTACAAGGACCACTATGCTAATCCAGGGTGTTCATAAATCCATGGATCCATGAAATATAAATCCGACCTTACATTTCATACACTGTATCTATCAAAGGGGGAGGATAACAATTCAAAGTTTCGGCTTCCTAAAACATCAGATCAAACATCTCTTTTATAGTTCATCTCTAATAGCTGCAAGAGCAAGGAAGTTTCCAAATGCCATCTAGATGAGATCAAGGTGGGGCATAATGAAGAGATGGAAGTCAAAATCAAACCCTTTTTCCTTTTGCTTTATAGCTTTTCTTTATCAATAGTTGAACCCGTTGATGGCTTCACTTTTCTGGTGTTTCAATCACCCTGTTTAGATTTTGCAAATATTAAACAGGCACTGTTGAATATTTATACTGATTGCTAAAGAATAAAATCCAACATCTTTTACCCAAGAGATCTATTTAGGAGAGAGTTCCTCATAACGTTCCAACTAATCAGCAACTAAGATGATACTTCTGCTTGATTCTCTTCACACCCTCATTGTCTTTTTGGAGGGGAATTTTTTTCTTAGATCAAAGATGGGGAGCTGGGTCGAGAATGACTTGTTATACAAACTGAATCTTCCCCATTTTCTAAGGCCTAACAAATTATTCAATGAGTCCGCTTATTGTAACAGTTGGATGTGGATATCTACATGCTCCTAATAATTATTGGATATACATTCGAAGTACTTCTCTCTCATACATCCAACCTTGTAGTGACTTCAGTTAATAATTTCTCATCTACTACTAGGGGACTAGGGGCTAGATGACTCCAAAATACTATAATATCTACCTGGCCATAACACTATTCATCTCTTAATCTCCCTGGCCATAACACTATAATATAATATCTACTAATTTGTTGCACCCATTCCTAACTAGTAAACTTCTAGCCAGCATCAAGAGCCTCCTCATAAGGTGATACTAAAATATCGAGAGCTTTACAAAAGATGTATGATTAAGGAAAAGCAAAAGGCATTTACTTTATCCAATGACTAATAAGGCCAATAAATCTCTTTATCCAGTACAAATGAGGGGCCACCATTCTTTGTTCACATTCATTTTATAAGTGGTCACAATTAATCAAAGAATTTAATAGGAGAGTAGTTAACATCAGAGACACAGTTTCAGAAACAAGAAAATGACATCAGTTTACTAAAGAAACATCCTTATGAATACAATAGAATATTGCTTATATTTTAGGAGGCATAAAAAAGTGGCAAAGAGGATATCAATGATTGGCCATGGAAATATAATTGCAAGCTATTGATCAGTGGCATATTGACAGGCAAAGTGAAAATAATTGTGTTTGTTAACAAGATTCCACCTGGCAAAAATGGGAATCTCATTTGGCTTGTGAATGGGGGCCGCAATGTTGGTCGATGAGATGATCTGTGATTACAGCTTTCTCGACTTCATATGTCAGGAATTTCAACTGTGAATTCTTCTTTTACAGCCATAATCATTGTCCTATGTAGCCAAAGGCAAGCCATATTTGAATGTACCTATAACACAAGTGACGAGGGGAATAATTAAACCCACCAAAGAACATGTACATAGGGGTGGGGTGGGGAATGGGGGATATGTAGGAGTGCACAATGTCAAAGCTAAATTTGTCAAGTTCTGTTCTCACAATACAATACAAAAGAAGGTACTATACAAGTCCAAAAGACCAATTTTGATATTTTGGCTATATGCAACTTTTTCAACAACAAAAGGAAATGTATTCCTCACATCATTAAACATGTTAAAGAACAGAAAATGAATTATTGCTGCTGCCTCGTATTGATTATGATTGAAAAAATGAAGTCATGAACATAATTTTCTAACCATGGGAAAAACAACTTTAAATAACGGATAATCGGTGGCATTCCTGTTTCTAAAGGCTAAACAAGAAACTGATAATCAAGACAAGAGCCAAACAATACCATAACTTGTAAGAATACAATCACAAGTAGTTCCCCTTGGCCCTTACGGTATTCAGGAAAATCATCTCATACCAAAAGACTCAAGTGTTCTGTTATATTTGAATAAAATTGACTCTTGAAAATTGAAAAATCCAAGTTTCAACGATGTAGCAAGTGCATACAGATAACCTATTTTAATTTGTATACAGTGTAAGACAATAGGACCTAATATCTTCTTTTCATGTTATCTTGAACCATGTTAATAGTAACAAATAAAGAAGTTGACACGCACCCAACTAAAAGAACTTCAAGAAAAGAAAGGTCAATATCCAAACTCTTTCTTTAAAGCATGCAATCCCATGTTGTACAGCATCTTCAAATAGTACATTATCCAGAGGAAGTATAAAGAGAGAGGAGAAAAAATAGTCCCTACATTCAAATCTAATTCCAAATGTGAGATTTCACAAGCTCAGTTTTTCAAGCGCTTCTCTATTGTTTTACCCTCATACAATTTGATACATTTAATTTTTCCATTGTCTTATTACAGGATAGTACAAGCTTCTTTCCCTAATTCTTAAGCACTCACGGATAAAACTGAAATTGCTGAAAGAAATCAAAACGTTAGCACTACAACAATTTGAGAACATTCTCAAAATTACTATCTTCCAATCAAGTACAAACTCGACTATCTCTATTATCAAATGCATTCAGATAAATTGGGCCCATAAAAACAATCCTAAGGAAAAATGCAAGAATAAGCCCAAAATATTGGGCATTTGGACACACAATGAACCAAAGGGATCCCTGTAGCCAGAGAATTCTCAACAATAACAATAGAGCACAGTACTTTGCCTCTTCTTGTCCAAGAACATTGAAACTGCCTCTAAACGAACCATGAAGGTCCCTAATCAACAATCTCAGGTAGGAAACATGAAGATTTGATGCTATAAGATGCAACCTTCTTCTACCATTCATTTTACAAAAATTCGATTAATCCTGAACTCAAATCCGGAGAATCACATTCACATGAACAAACTAATGAAATGAGATTCAATACGCAACGCAACCGTACACAGATGCGATCAATAAAAACGAAGTTTAAGGAGACCGAGAGCATGGAAAAACACTTACAGTTTACTCGTCGCACCTTTCCAAGAATTTACGATAAAGAAAGTGACGAAGCTGAACGGGAGAAAGCCCTAGAACTCGACCTTCATTGCACTGAAGGAGCCGAAACCAAACGACGTTGAAATCGAAAGTCGTCGGAATTCGAATTCTAGCACCAGTCTCCGCTGCCGCCCATTCCCTTTCCCCCTACCCGCCATATTCGGCGCCAATCAAAACGGTGCGTTTCGGATAAAGGCATAATGCATTTACATATTATGACGCAAAATACATTCATAAATCATTTATTTATTAATTTTTAGTTCAATAATATTGTGTTTGTTTAGACTCATTAATGGGCCTGAAGCCTAAAGTCGGCCCAATCCTGATCCATGTTTGATCCAAATGCGGCCCAAATATATGGATCACCGCTTTAAATTTTGGGTCATATTTAGATCGGTCAATCGGGTCGATCCAATAAACTTACCACCGGGTCAACCCAAATAGGCATAGTTTTTCATATATTATATTTTTATAAATTTAAAAAATAAATTTTTTAATGTTTTTTAAATATATTTTTGTAATTTAATTGTGATAGTTCTTTGTTATATAAAACATTTAAATTGTAAAAAAAGGGAAGAAAAAAAAAAGAAAAAAGAAGAAGAAGGAATCTTTAGAACGATGACCGACACAAAGAAAGGCTTAAACGCCACAACTTTGAGGCTTAATATTTAAACATGGCGTATGGGCAAAAGGTTGATGAATATGAAGTGGTTGACGTAGGAAGGTGAAGGGCGGGTGAGTGTATCATGAGTGGATTGCTGTCCTATATAAGCCATTAAGAGTACAGTCTCGAACACTTAGCATTTCCAAAACTCCGTCAAACGTTTGGCCAAAAAGAGAGAGAAAAAAACACTTCAAAGAGATTCCAATTCCAATTCTAAGCTCCTTTAATGGACTCCAAAACTCTTCTCTGTTTCTCTATCCTCTGTTTCTCGCTCCTCCCAGGTTCGTTCCCCTCTTCCCACTTTCTCTCTCTCCAATCATTTTTTTTGGGTTTTTTTTTTTTAAATTTAATTTTGGCTGCAGAATTATCTGGGGTGGTAAGGGTTTCTGCTGGTCGAGTTAGCCACCGTCATCGCCACCGCGAACGGCGGAGTAGCCAGAGTCTTGGAGGAGGGGAGCTATGGAATTCGAATCCTAGAAAGCTATTTGTGTTTGGGGATTCTTACGTGGACACCGGGAACAACCGGAAACCGGCGGCCAAATCTTGGCAGTATCCTTATGGAGTTACTTTTCCCGGCAAACCCACCGGGCGTTTCTCCGATGGCCGTGTTTTGACTGATTACCTAGGTAACACTGAAATATTTACCGTCTGATTTCTCTCTTTATTTTATTTATTTATTATTGTTATTCTTTTTACTCTAAATTATTGTTTCAACGCGTCACCTTTGCTTATAGTTTTTAGTTTTAAACAGTTTTTTTTTTTTTTTTTTACTTTTTTAATTTCATAATATATGATCAAAATATTACGGTTTTAATCTTTTTTCACATGCATATTTTAAAATTCTCACTCTATTGATACTAATTTTTTAAAAAAATTATTAACTAATGTTTTTTTTAATTAATAATTAAGAAATATTGGGTTATTTTTTAAATATTATTGGAATCTTATGAGTATATAGTCAATTTTTAAAGTTTGCCTATAAACCCATTCCAAATAAAGAATGTGGTAAATAAATAGATTTATTATTTTTAAAAAGGATAAATGAGAAAAATTAATAATAATACAATTTTAAATTTAATTAAAAAGATAGAAAGCAAGTATGCAGACGCCATTATCAAATGGATCTAAAAACCACAGTAAAGTAGTGAATAAGCATATTTGCATTTTAAAACAAAAAGAATTAAAATTTTATTGAAATGAAAGCATTGTATGATTAAAGGTAAGTTTAAAATATATATATATATATATGTGTATGTATATATATATAATATTCCAAAGGCTTGAAAAATCAATAAAGATAAATGTGCTTTATTTTTAAGTCCACAGATCTATAGCTTTAGTTTTATGGACACAAAGTGACCCACAAAGACATTCAGATTTGCTTTAAAAATAAATTTTAATTAATAATAATAATAATAATAAATCAATGGAGGTGCTGGGCTCCCTCCTTCCCATTATATTAGTTTTTTTTTTTTCGAATTTCTTTAATTTCAGAATATTTCCGTTAGTAAAGTAACGCTTTTTAAAAAAATTTAATTATTTAGTGAATTTCTTTGTTTTTTTTAATAAATATTTTAAATTTTAGAAAAATTTGAGCTTTTTATTTTTAATTCAAATTTTGGAAATGAGAATTGCCAAGTCAGAGTGTGGCACTTTTTGGGTGTAAGAATCGAGAAAGAATGCATTATTGAGTCAGCTTTTTCTTTTTTTTCTTTTATTTTTCTTTTATTTTTCTTTTATTTAATTGGTATAGGGATGGCTGTGTCTTTTCAACATGTGAGTTTAGCATTCCCCTTTTCTTTTTCCCTGACAGACAGTCTCACTTTCTTATACGATTTAAAATTTCTAGATACAAATTTCAATTTCACCAAACTTCTTTCATTATCATATCATCATCTTCTTCCCTTGTCGTTTTTTCCTTTTTATCATCCCTTCATTTTCTCTCTTTTTAGAATTTATATAATAATTTTTGAATACTTTGACCAATTAAAGTATATTCTAGATATTTTGTCCGGGTGGTTAGGAATCACAATTCTCATGAGCCTACCATGGCTTTGCTTTGATCTTTTTAAAAGGTCTAGTACTAATGGACACAGTATTCCTTACTTATAAATTCATAATCTTTCATTGAATTAATCAATGATTCACTCCCAATAATCCTCCAAACTGTTTTAATTCAAAATTTCAAAATTGTGTTGAATTAAATTTTTTTAAATTAATTTAAATTTAAATATATTTGAATCTCAAAATTAAATTAATTTGTGAGTTTTATTTGAATTAATTTTGGGTTGTTTATGTAAATATCTACCGTTTAATTGATATTAAAATTTTTAATAAATCTCTAATTTTTTTATTTTGTGTCTCATAAATTTATAAATTTTTATATATAAAATAAGAAAATATAAATTTTTACCTAAAAAAAAAAAAAGAGAAATTTTAGAGTTTAATCGGCTCCATTTGGCGGCACAATTGGCTCATTGAATCTTCTCTGTGAAAAAATGCAGCGAAGTATCTGAAGGTGAAGTCTCCGATACCGTACAAATGGCGGAAAGTTGGGTACGGACAGTTGAAATACGGGATGAACTTCGCGTACGGCGGGACCGGCGTGTTCAATACGTTTGTAATGAGCCCTAACATGAGCACTCAGATCGACTTCTTCCAGCAGCTAATCGGCGAGTCGACGTTCACCAGCCAAGATTTGCAGTCCTCTGTGGCGCTCGTCTCCCTTGCAGGCAACGATTATAGCGTCTACCAAGCCACTGATGGCTCTGCTCAGGTTTCCCCCCCAAACTTAGCTTCTTAATCTATAAGCCCTAATTTGAACTGCCCTGTTTTTCATTTTAAAAATTATTTGTTAAGATTTTTCTATTATTACTAATCATTGCATTTTTAATTTTGTTGTATATATGTGATTTGTTAGATTAATATTGTCGAGCCAATTTGATCCGATGAATCTGAACATATATATATATTAGATTGCATATGAAATAAGTTCAAGTTCAAGTTTGTAAGGTTAAGTCTCATGGATTTATATGCTTTAAAATATGTCTGATAAGTTCTTAAATTTCTAACTTTCTGTCAAACGGATTCATGAACTAAAAGAAGAGTATAATTTACATAACCTTTCAATTTTGAAAAATTAGTAACTTGATGAGAATAATTATGAAATTTATCAAAATAAGATTTAAACTCAAACAATTCCTTGTATGCTTAACGAACAAATTATGCTTTAAAAATTATAACTTATGCTTAATGTAAGTAATTAACTTGATGATTTGCAAATTTCACGATGAATAGCCGTATAAACAAGTTGATTTAAACTTTGGGATGTTGATGGCAGGGTTGGCAGCCATTTATAACGAAAGTGGTGAACCAGCTAGAGGTGAACCTGAGGCGCATCCATGGGGTGGGGGTCCCAAAGATAGTGGTGACGGCTCTTGAGCCACTGGGCTGCCTTCCTAGCAGCACAGTTGCTTCCTCCTTCCAACAGTGTAATGCAACTGAGAATCAGCTCGTCAACTTCCATAATATGCTATTGCAGCAATCTGTGGCAAAACTCAACAGTGAAGTCAAAGATGCTTCTGCTTCCACTTTCATCCTTCTTGATCTTTATTCCTCTTTCATGGCTGCTCTCAACAACAAAGGAGACCATCTTGGTGACTCTCTCTCTCTCTCTCTCTCTCTTTTTCAATCTTCTTTAGTGCACTAAATCTCAAATGCTTCGCCAAACATCCGTAGTCCCATTGATTAATGAAAATTTGCACAAGGGTTGCTCTTCCTCGACTAAACACTCCTATTTTATGCCGATAGTCGACACGGAAATAGGTTGATGTTTAGCGTAGTAGAGACTGTAGTCGTGTTCCCTTAGCACGGTAGACTAAGTGCTGAGTGTAGATTTGATTGTTGTTCGGTCCTGCTCCTAGAACAAAAAGAGCCATTGAATTGGGCGCAACCTCCGTTAAGGGTTGTTTGGAGGGAGTCCCACGTTGATTAATTAAGAGGTTGATCATAGGTTTATAAGTAATACATCTCCATTGTATGAGGCCTTTTGGGGAAATCAAAAGCAAAGCCATAAGAACTCATGCTCAAAGTGGACAATATCATACCATCGTAGAAAGTCGTGGTTTCTTATAACCTCCAGTACAAATTTTAACGACTACTTTCAGGTTATGTTTCAACATTCATCTCAAACTTACCTTACGTTTAGGAATTCAACATATACGAACTTTCCATAATCTCTTAGAAGTGAATGATTTGGTATCTATCTATTCAATGTGTCACAACGAATGACCCGAGGAAGTAACGATGCATTTGAAAACTTTTTTGTGCAGGAAATGTGAAGTTTGAGAATCCATTGAAGCCATGTTGCGTGGGAGTAAGCAGCGAGTATTCATGTGGGAGTATGGGTTCGAATGGGGAGAAGAAGTACACGATTTGTGACGATCCAGGAGCTGCATTCTTCTGGGACGAAGTGCATCCTACTCAGCATGGCTGGTTCGCTGTGTACTCTGCATTGCAAGCCAATCTAAAACAGTTTTAAGAGATCAGATAAGTTTACCTCCCAATCTAAAACAGTTTTAAGAGATCAGATAAGTTTACCTCCCAATTTGACAAGACATTTCATTCATTCAATGAACATCTATCATGTAACTTTTCAAATAATATTTGGCATAGTCTCTTTGCCTGTGTTCTCTGATTTGCTTGTATGTACTCTGTTCTGCCTTTCTCTCTGTGTGTTTATGTAAGTCTCCATCTTCTTCTTCAAGTTCATAGCTAATTTTTGTATTCTCAAACCTTTTCATAGTTTCAGATTGAAGTCTCACTCTCTCTCTCTCTCTCTCTCTCTCTCTCGTTTTCAGCTCATTTAGGATTGGTTTGAATTGACTTTCCATCTGATTAAGAACGTGTTTTTAAGCACTTAGAAGTCAATCCAAACCGCCCTTACTCTTTCCCTCTTCTTTTGGGTTTGATGTCGAGATCATAAACTGATTGAATGCAATATACTTTGGCGAATTAAAAGGCCAAGGTTAGCAGGTTCTTTTGGGTTATCGATGGGACATTGATGGTTGTTTAAAGTTCCATGAATGAAAGAAGCGATTAAGATTCAAACTTTGACTCTCTATGTTTTCATCGTAACAAATGAGAGACCCAATTCTCTTTAAGTTACGTAACATATTGATATACTGTACCTTTAGTGAGACATCAGAGATCACTCACGGCTGACTATCTAACTAAACCCGGTGGAAGTAATAGTTACTTCCACTCTATAGTAGAGAATATGAGTCATTATCACTAAGGCTTATTTTGTAGTCATTTTCAGTTCTCTTTGTTCTTGTTTTAGAGCTTTTGCTCGTGTAAGACCGTCTGTATAAACATGGTAAGTCAATCGCCATACATAGAGACAACAAGCAGCAATAAACTATAACATCAACCCATCAAGTATTTCTACTACGGTTAACGTTATCTTTTTTTCAAAAAATGCTAAATTAATAAAAATATTTGTAAAAATTGTATTTTTACTAAAATAATTTTAAATTTAAGTTTAATAATATTCTAAAAAAATAAAAATAAAAAAGATATATTTTTGTATGGAGTTTTTTTTTTTTTTTTTTTTTAAATTTTAGAATTTAAAGTTAACCATAGACTATTTGTACAATTTTCGAGAGTACAATTATTAAATTTAAATATTTAAAGGACATCACTAATATTCAACCTCGGGATAAAATGGTATTTTAACTAAAACAATAATGAAAATTAAAAAACTCGAAACTGTGCGTTTTGGCTTCGAAAGTCTCGTGAAAACAGCAGTCCCGTACAGTCTTACAGATGGTAGACTGATTATTAGGGTTCGAATCTCCGTAAATGTATAGTCCTTGATAAATCAAACTGGAAGCCGACTAGGGTTCGAACCTCCCGAAGCTAACAAAATTTGGAATTTACGAAGCATTGCGAAGCAAGGAGAGTGGCAATGGAAGAGCTTCCACATCAAGCAGAAGCATCCATGGGCACTAGCTGCAAGAAGGGGAAGAAGAAATCAGTGAGTCTGGAGGAACCGCAGAAAAGAGCTAAGAAGAAAGGCGGGGCTACTTCAGTCAACGAAGTGCAGCCTACAGGTCGTTTAGATGACTCCCGGGTGAAGGTTTCAGAGTTTGATCATTGTGTTGAAAATCATTTTAGAGCCATTGATGCGATTGCCGAGCTCTATGGCGAGGCAGAAAATGGCGAAGGCGGAGTTGATGAAAGTGATTTTCAGCGGTTTTCATCCTCCACAACTTTCTTAAGGTACACATGGTTGCATGTTTTCCGGTAGATACAACAAATACATGTTTCCTGTAGCTTAAGGATCATCGCATTGCTTACACCGATTAGTTCTGGAATGCTTGTTAAATGCTGAAGATCTTGAAGTTCGTGCAAGGCATGCAATGTATTGAATATTGTGCAGCTTCTTACGATTTTTGTTCTTGCACAATTTCTCGGAAGACGATGACATGAATTTCTTCCTGCATTATCTGTCACTGCTGGGAATCTCCAACTTAATTTTTTTCGAATTATACTTCACTAGGGAATGGAAGTTCTACAATTATGAGCCGAAAACCGTCAAGTTTACAAGCGATTCGAGAGTTCCTGAGGGTAAGGATGCTGATATCACGATGGAATTGCCACAGTTTTCTTCTGCGGCTGTTCTAAAGGTGCTGGGTTGGCTGCCATGTTAAACTTGTTGGCGTTTTCTTTCTAATTTTATCCCATCAACCAAACCCACACTCGCGCGCGCGCGCGCGCACACACACTGTTTTCTTCTGTTTAGGTGACGAGCTGAAACTGTTATGCGGCAGTAAGAATTAACACAAGTCTTAATTTAACACGCAGAATGGAGCACCGCCCGGAGCCACTGCATCTCTGGACTTTAGGTAAGGAACAAGCAAACTCTGTATGAGTGTCAAGGTCGTCCAGTTTAACACTTGGGCAAAGGATGCATAATGAGCTGCCTCTTAAGATATTTTAGGAATTTGTATGTCGCATCTAATGCGAAAGCCGGCATACATGGAAATTTATTATTTGGCACTTGCCAGTTATTATCTTACCCTCTAGAAACCCATGATGTGATTAAAATACGTAATGTTGCTTATGGCACCACTTTGATTTTGGATTGCTTCTGCTGTTGGTTATTGTAGTTTTCGTTGGTGGGCTAGTGTTGTCAGTTGGGCATGAATTGAAGTTACTTTTTTGATGTCTGGTCACTGGTGTGTAATTCTATCTTCCGTAGTTGATATGTTCATTCAATCATTCATTTTTATTGATTTTTTTCTCCAGAAACTTTATCATGCATGTTGGTGGGCCTGTTTGGGCCATAGATTGGTGTCCTCTAGTTCATGAAAGGACCGACTCCCTTATCAAATGTGAGGTATCCCTCCTCTTCTATTGGTCTTTTTCAAAAGCAAAACTGTTATGGACGCATTAAAATTTAAGTGTAAAATTTTGTTTTATTCGTCTTCACCTATGACTTTCATTTTCATTCACTTAGTTAGGCACTGCTTTCTTTTTGTTCACACTTTCTCTTTATTTATAAGTTCTCATTCATATTTATAACAATATATATCTCAACTCGTATGGTAGTTTATTGCTGTTTCTGCTCATCCACCTGGCTCTTCTTATCACACGATGGGCATCCCGCTCAGTGGAAGAGGAATGGTGCAGATATGGTGCTTAGTGCATGGCACCGAAAGCCATGAATCAGAAACGACCAGTGCAACAGAGTGCAAGGATTCAGACTTATCTCAACCAAAGAGGCCTAGAGGAAGACCCCCAGGGCGCAAGAAAAATGGGGCGTCGGCCTTACCATCTCAACCAAAGAGACCTAGAGGAAGGCCTAAAAAGAAACAAGAAGAACCTAATGATGATAACAAGGTTGCCAGTTACCAACTTGTTCAGCCCCTTTCTGTTGAATACCCAGATGTTTCATCCAACTTGCTTGAGATTGATGACGTCTCCCACAATTCTGAAAAACCTGTATCACTGGAAAACAGTGTTGAAAGAGGGAGCAGTACCATTGAAGAAATTTCTACGTGCAATTCTGAAGATGAAGTTCCTGTGCAGAAGAGAAGAGTGAGAAGAAATGCTGATACTAAGAATCATGTTGATGATGTGGGAACGTTATCACTTATAGAGAATCGAGAAGATGGATCTAATGCTACAAATCATGAGGCAAATGAGAATGTTACAAGTGAGTATTCTGGAGAAGACACTCGATTATGTAAGAACATTTCAGAGAAAGCTATTTTAGACACTGGCTCAACTGGATTTTCTATTCCGGAGACTGTTGCTTTGCCTAGACTAGTATTGTGCTTAGCTCACAATGGAAAGGTAGCGTGGGATTTGAAATGGAAGCCAACTAATGCGCGTACTACCAAGTGCAAGCAAAGAATGGGCTACCTTGCTGTCTTGCTGGGCAACGGATCTCTAGAAGTGTAATTAAACTGCTTTAACTGTCTTCTGACATCTATGCTCAGTTACTATATGTTTAATTTCTTTTTGTCCATTTTTATCCAAAACTTTTTTGTTTATTTAATTTATTGTGTTTCCTGCGTATATTTGGTTATTCTCTTGGTCTTACTGAGAGCTTTTCATGCTTGCTTAAGATTTAAAATAAGTTTATAGATATGGAAGTATGTTGGATAATCTCCTCGACGTTTCCTTTTGAGATAAATTATAATTTGTGTTGAATATGATACAGATTTTTACTGCTAAACCAAGAATCAGTTTCCATGGAATTGCTGACATAGTGGATCTGATTTTTTCAACATGACTAGGTTGCTAGGCTGAATGACGTTTTATGTGAGCATGCCATAACAGGAAAACTACTTTTGAAGTGTGTAGTTTTGGGATAAATTGTATAAATACAATTACACTACATACAATCTTCAAATTAAGCTCTACAAAGTTTCTGGTGAATGAAAAGTACGTGCCTTTAGTTTTTTCATTTTCTATAGATATGATTTCTTTGTAGAGTTTGCTTTGGATTTTTTTTTTTTTTTTTAACTTCAAAAAATTAGTTCATAATTCTAGTTTTCATGTTTAATTCGAGCAGCACAATTGGTTTAACTGACATGATGAACACACCATACTAGGTTCTACAACAAAATTATATCCCTCGAAGTGTATGTCTTATTCTAGTTTAATTGCTGTTCTTGCATCTTTGGTTGTTCTAAGGTTTTGACTTTTAATGTTTACTACGTGCCTCCCCAATGATTAACAATATTAGTTCTATATTAGGAACGACACTATCTGACTATCCAATGAACTAATTGCAGTTGGGAGGTTCCTTTTCCCCATGTAGTGAAGGCCATCTATTCTAAACTCAATGGGGAGGGTACAGATCCCCGCTTTGTGAAGTTGAAGCCTACTTTCAGATGCTCGATGTTGAGAAGTGCAGATACACAGAGGTATTCGATTTTTATTTTTAACATAATGACATGACAACTCTTCAAGTTTAACATGATACAGTCTTTGCGAAAAGAAAAACCAATGTGTTTAGTATTGCTATAAATTGAAGAGTAGAATAGGCTGCCTTAGAGATGGTCATTATTCTCTGCATAATTGCACATTACACCATCATCATATCTGGAAAACTTTTGAATGAAGTTCTTGGCATTGGCTATTGTTAGAAGGAATGGTATTATGAAGTACGTCTAAGACTATTCAGTTCATTCTTGTTGAATCCAGGAATTA